ATAAACTTATGAATCCTGTACACTTTTATAATCTTATCACAATGGGACTACGGTCGGATTCACTATGATCAATATAATCTCTTTCCAAATATACTCACATATACTTTACAACTAAACACATGCACACCTACAGGGTTTGTTTTGTGCCTGTGACCTTTGACACCAAGGAAAGGATTTGGGAGCAGCTAGGCGCGGTATGGCAATATATTTGCTCTTGGCAACCATGTTGCTTTTAATTTATTATATTCGAGATACCGTCAGATAATGAATAGAGTATTTTTTTAAGTGCTTTGATGGCAATTTATATAAACAACAAATGAGTAGTTATTGGGCCCACATCTAATTACTACCTTCAACATTTAACATAAGAGTTTATTTGACTTTTATTTTGATCCTCAATATAAGATCCAATCTATTTTATTTTTTATATTTATCCCTTTTTTTCAAAACAGTCCTCATAATAATAGTAGTTCTAGCCAATACATTTCATTAGTAAGGATATTTTAGGAAAGACCACTTATTTATTATAAATAACTAACTTAACTAGTTTTCTTAATTACTTAAATTAGTTAACTAGCTCTTATATTAAGGACTTGAGGTAATATAAGCACTCTACTCCATGACTATAGTTCTGAACTCAATACTATGTATATCTAGTCCTACGTATAAGATATATAGTTTGTAGTATAATTTATAATACAAGCTATATCTTACATTTGGGATTGAAGGTAGTATTATTAAGATCACACAAGTTCTCTTCTGTGTGGCCCTGGGTGCTGGATACCTTTTCCTGTGAGACAGGGTCTTCAAGCTTTTGTTGAATCTCATTTTTGATAAGGCATCAAAGGAACCCATTGTTCTAGAAAAAAAATATGTATAAGTTGACTTACTGTCAGCAATATATATATATTAATCGGAAAGCATAGGCGATGGAGAAGCACTAGCAGTATTCTAAAAAGCTTAATTCAGCGCTTTGTTGAGAGAGTTTAAGGCGGCGTGAGGAGGCATTATCTAGCAGTTTTCTAACAAAACCCAACACTGAGCTTGAAGGCAACGTTTAATATATTGCCCACTCACTATAACACAGTAAATTTGAAATGGCCAGCCAGAAGAAGAAACAGATATATATGGTCAACTACCTTACACTTGCAATTCCAAGCAGAACCACCATCAACAAACGTTAGCATATCAAAAAAATACACAACACAAAAAAATTTATTTTATTACCTCCGGTCCTAAATATAAGAACTAACTAACTAATTTGAGTAAATTAAAAAAATAAGTTAAGTTAAATTTGCAATAAATATGTGTTATTTTTTATAATATTTTTACTAATCATGTATATTGATTAGAATTACAATTATTAGAAGGACTACCTTGAAAAAATACATAAATATGACAAATAAAGTGAATTAGAGTTTTATATTATAACTAAAATAAAAATCAAATGAAATAAACGAAATATTATATTAAGGACTAGAGGTAGTATTTTACAACAGTCAATATTAATATATATCAATATCAATATCAAAAATACATACATATATAACATCAAACTTATAGTAATTAAGTTTCTAAATAGTGCAATTTTATTTTCTGGGGCTCTTCTCCCATAAATGTATTCCTACGGGCAATCAAAGAAACAGTCAAATGGAGCATGTTCAAGGAACTTGTTCACTACAATTACCGTTTTTAGTGACTATGTGAGTTTATAGGTGTAACAATATTTGAACACGCGCGCACACGCAGCTATGTAAATACGTAAAGATGTTCTAAGTATGAGGCTAAAAGGAAATAGTAATAGTCATAATATATAAAATAGTCAGTGGCATGGCTCGATATATAATTGAGTGCTACATTAGTAGCATATGCCAAGCTGGCAGAATGCCGGACTGGTCCTATATATAGCAGCTCGTGCCTATTGCGACTCCTACCTTATTTTTATTTTAATTTATATATTTTACTGTTGATCCAATCTGTTAACACTTAGTGTCCGTTTGGATCAGCGATTGGAAAAGCAGCTTATAGAAAAAGTAGCTTATGAAAAAGTGAAGTTGGTAAAAGTTAAATTGGATAAGATGAATTGTGTTTGGATTTAAGTTCAGAAAAGTTAATTTGCAAAAGTAAGATTGGTAAAAGCTTGTTTGGATTATAGTTGAGTAAAGTAAGTTTGGCTGAAAAATTACCAAAATGGATATGAGTTTTAATAAATAATGAAACATGATAAAAAATTGATTTCACATAATATAATGAAATTAAAATAATTTAATTTGAAGAAGAAATCAAATTAATGAGTGAATTAAATTTTAAAATTTGAAAGAAATCATAAAAAATATTTTAAACATAAATGAAACATAAAAAAATTGAGATAATATAATGAAGAAGTGAAATTTAATGAGTGAATTAAAATCAAGAGAAATAGTTAAAAATATTTTAAGTATAAAGTGAAACATGATTTAAAAAATGATAAGAGAATAAATTCAAATTAATTTTATATGAATAAATAAAATTGATTAGTGAATTAAATTCGAAAACATTAGAGAAATGAGAAAAAAAATAAGACAAATAAAACGAAACAAATAGTTAGTTAAAACTGCTATATAAAATAAACAAGGATTTAAGATAGGGAAAACAATAATAGAAACAAAAAATATTATAAATTTAACCTCATCCCATGCTTCTCTTTTTCTTTTCTTTTATGTGATTTTTGGAAGAATTAAAAGAATATGCTTACAATATAGAGAGGGGGAAAAAACATAAAGAAGTGTTATGAATTTTAATAAGGGGAAAGGTGAATTTACTTTATACCAGCGGCGAAGAAGCGCGGGAGCTCTCTCAGTGAAAATGTGTGAAGATTGTGAAAGTGAGCTAGCTCAAGGGACTGAGGGAGGAAAAGGCATATGAAAGAGAAAAAACAAAAATTATCTGACATGGCAGAACGCTTTAAGCTCCTCTGATATAAGAATAAGCTCCTTCTTGGAGCTTATTTTAACTGGGCGTTTCAGTAGCTTAAAATAGATAAGCTCAGTGAACTTCAAGCCTTGCCAAACGCCCTCATTCTCTTAGCCCGGCTTAATTTAAAATTTAAGTGTTTTTGGGTCAGCAAATGCTGACCTAATCAGACCCTTAATTGAAACCCTCCCCTCTTCCTTTTATAAAAATACACTCAATAGACACCCCACCTTCCCCAAGTTCAGGACTTGACAATGATTTTAATTAATTGTATAGATTATTTAATATCTATATTTCCATTATGCAGTTTCAAAAGTAATATTACCTGATTTCTTCTCCAACTATATTCCCATTATAGTTTGAAATCATTCAAATCAACATGGCTTTTAATATTTCCTATTAATATTTGTAGTGATCTTCTTATTAGTATTTCCTAACAGAAGTAACACTTAAGCTGCATTGTAGTAAATAAATAGAATGTGGTCCATCAAAGTTCTCACATCAGTTGCTGACCCTAAGAGTTCACTAGGGCCAAAACATGTTTTTAGACTTAAAAAACTATTTACAAAAATATTATAAATTGCCTATCAACAAAGTATTATAGTTTTTTTTTGTGTTAAAGTATATGTATATTTTTGTTAGATGTAATCCTATTTGAGACATTATCGAATACTAAATGTGGACATATTTTCTAAATGGAATTTGAATTTTGATTCGTTATATTGTGAGAAACTAATCATTTTTGTTAGACTGAATTCATATTTATAAGTATTATAGTATTGACATGTCAAGGTATAAGAGAATGATTTGTACTTCGAAGGTTGGAGCTTAATATATTGGAATTGGACCATATTCGCTAAACAACTAATTGGGCTCCACGAGAGAGAAGCCCATTAGAGAACGACTCAAAGGCGCGGAAAGAGAAAAAACATCACACCTACTCTTCACCCGCCTCGCCGGCGCGTGAAAATCTTTCCCAGCTGTGGTCTGCTCCGGCCACTCACCGAAAATGCAGGTATTCGTTACGCGCTATACCTCCGTCTGCGAAAACTTTTCAAATTTTCGCAATTGAAAGTCCCCGCCACAAAAGTCTCTCTCCCTTAAATTCCTCGGTACGTACACGTCCCGCCCTATGCTCTATCTTATTGGTGCGTGAAACCTACGTCACATATGCTCGAGTGAGTCCGCGCCCTTCATTCGTGATGCTATAATACTTCCCGGGCACGACTCTGTGCGCACCTCAAACGCTTCATCTGGTCGATGGTTCTACACGAACTCACCGTTGCCGTACACCTGGAATCCGATAAAACAATCTTCGTTTATAGAGAGAGGGGGGAAGACGAAGAGTTCTAGAGAGAGAAAGTGTGGAGCGAAAGAGAGAGTGCAAGATCTGATCGAAACCCAGGTAACAAGCTCGAAACCCTACTGCGCCTCGTTAGGTCTAAAGCTCGTTCTTTTGTCCGTTCTATTTCTCCCTCTCCTTATGTGCACAGGTTTATGTGTCTTCGTCTCTGTGGGTGAAAGCGGGTGAATTTGGATTTCGTCTTAGAAGGTCCCACGTAAGCCCTAAAAATTTAGAGTCGCAGGGTCGCGAAAGTCCTGGAAGTTCTGGTTTGCAATTCTTTCATTTCTTTGTTTGTAAAACCCTAGAATTAGACACAAGACTGGGATTTGATATTAGTTTTGGAAAGAAAAGGTGTAAAGAAAAGAATTAGGGTTTTGGATGTATGGCTTCCGGGCCTATAGTAGGAGGAGATGACGGAACTAGAGAGAAACAGAGGTACACAGAGAGTAAGGTGTACACGAGGAAAGCTTTTAAAGGACCGAAGAACAAAGCTAACGTTTTGAACACCGTTGCTACCGATACTGCTGCCCCCACAACAGCTAACAACGATGACAATAAGAATAGCACCATTAATAATGGTGGTGTCAATGAGACCGAAAAGAATGACACTAACGTTTTGGCTCTGCCCCCAGCGCGCAGTCTATTTTTCCGGATGAGAATACGGCTCAGCCAAGATTGAATTCAAAATTGGATGTAGTGTCAGATGACTTCCACCTTAAATCGTCGTCAGGACGAACCTCCAGGTCCGAATCCTCTGCAGGACGAACCCTCAGGCGCCAGTCCTCAGCAGGACGAACCCTCAGGCCCCAGTCCTCGGCAGGACGAACCCTCAGGCCCCAATCCTCAGCATGACGAACCCTCAGGCCCCAATCCTCATCAGGACGGTCCCAATCCGCAGCAGGATACTGTTCCCTGTCCTAAGGAGTTGCCATCAGCTAATGGTGCTATCAATCCTGGATTGGAGAATCGTATTAAGATCAACTTAGGCTCAAGCTCAAAGCAAGAAATGCAAGAGCTTCGGAGGAGGCTTGAGCGCGAGCTTGACACAGTGAGAAGTTTGGTCAGGAGAATTGAAATGAAACAGAGGCAGTTGGGTGGCTATGGCAATTCAAATATGCTAGCGAATGATAGAATTGGTAATACCATTGGACCAAGACGTGTTCTGTCAGGGGTAGCATCTGGTGGTGTTCCAAGAGAATCCGCCAGGCCTTTGCACCAGTTAAGCATATCAGTGCTAGAGAATTGTCAAGGAGTCGGTGAAACTGTGTTGAAAAGGAGAAGAGAACCCCCAAGGCAAACCAGTTATATAGTAATTCTGAGTTCTTGCTAGGGAAGGATAAATTCCCTCCTGCAGAGAGTAATAAGAAGTCAAAACTGAATGGAAGAAGCAGGGTGGGGGAGAAATGGGACACGGTTTTGGGATGGGATCAAAATTCTTCAAAAGTTGCAGTTCATTGCTTGAGAAGTTGATGAAACACAAGCATGTTGGGTTTTTAATGCTCCTGTTGATGTTGAGGGCCTTGGATTGCATGATTATTTTAGCATAATCACACATCCTATGGACTTGGGTACTGTGAAAACAAGGCTGAGCAAGAATTGGTACAAATCGCCAAAGGAATTTGCGGAGGATGTGAGACTTACATTCGTAATGCTATGACATATAACCCACCTGGACAAGATGTTCATATAATGGCAGAGCAGCTATCAAAGATATTTGAGGACAGATGGGCCATAATAGAGTCGGATTACAATCGGGAAATGAGATATGTATTGGATTATGGGACAACTGTTTCTGCACCATCACCACTATCCAGAAGGGCTGCTACAATACCTCCGCCTGCCCTTGATATGAGAAGGATTTTGGACAGATCAGAATCGATGACGCAACCTCCAAGACCCATGAGCATTACTCCTTCTAGTAGAACCCCCGCTCCAAAGAAGCCAAAGGCAAAAGATCCGTATAAAAGAGACATGACATATGAGGAAAAGCAAAAATTGAGCACAAGCCTCCAAAATCTGCCTCCAGAGAAACTAGATACGATTGTACAGATCATTAAGAAGAGAAATTCTGCACTTTCACAACATGATGATGAAATTGAAGTGGACATTGATAGCGTAGATGCGGAGACTCTTTGGGAGCTTGATAGGTTTGTGACCAACTTCAGGAAAAGTTTGAGTAAGAACAAGAGAAAAGCTGAGCTTGCCATTCAAAGAGCAGAAGCTGCAAAGAATGCCCCACAAATGGTATAGTCTTGATCTGAATCATGATTGCCGATTGCTAGCCTGTGTTTGGGAAACAATTATTGTTAACTACAATTACCTTGTGATCTTTTGTAGCGCGCTGGAACCTGCTGCGGTTGTGGCTCCTCAAGAAACCATAGCAGGTAAAATATTGAGCTGACTGGTGATGCATGAACTATTATTTTTTAAGCAATTTGTTATTTGTTATTAACTAATGTGTTGTCTTGCTATCTCTGGGCAGGTGAAAGAAATGCTTCTGCATCTTTTCCTTCACAAGCAGAAAAACAGGTGAATAATGGGAGTAGGTCAAGCAGTTCTAGCAGCTCAAGCAGTGATTCTGGATCTTCTTCAAGTGGTACTGCGATTTATAACTTGATAATATATATCCTACTTCTCATCCATGCGCACACAGATTTACTTTTGCCTGTTGCAGTTGAAGACCTAGTGTTCTATCTTTCTCATTTTATTTATTTCTGCAGATTCTGATAGTGAAAGTTCCTCAGCATCTGGATCTGATGCAGGATCACCGAGGACCTGAATTAATTTAATTCTCTAAGGTATAATCACAGATATCAGAGTCTTAACCAAGTCATGTTCCCTTCATTTGGTCTGAAGTACTGTCTGCATAATTTAAATTTTCTTACCCCCCCCCCCCGGGGAAAAAAAATCGTACATTGCTTTGCCTTATTTTTCCTCTCTTCGTAGCAGGTGTGCCATGCCTTTTGTTTGTATCCATTTTCATGATTGGGGATCTAGTCTTTTACATATTTGTTTCTGTTGTTTTTCTACCTTTCTCTGTATGGAAACTTAATCAAAGCTTGCAGGCCAATACCAGACCTTTACCACATGGGGGGCTCTATAAATTAAATTCTATTTGGGTTAAACCCAATTCTTGGAATCGCAGTAAAATGGCTACTAAATGTTTGATGCCTTGAACTTGTTTGTAGTTCGGAAAAGTAAAAAAGGGGGGTGGTTAATCTGTTGAGCTTTATTGGTTTGTGGGGCATTTGTTGGTCTGTCACTGGATGTAGGCATCTTGACAAATGATTGGTTATGTTAAGATTAATTGAATAAACTATCATTAAATCTATAATTACGTATACATTATTGATGGTTTGTAACATATTTACGCTTATGCATCACTAGTCTGTAGACAGGTGACATCTTGTTATGTCATAATCTAAATCTTAAGCATTTCATTTAATGGTCCCCTCTGAAGTAAAACACAAAGGGCGTACGGAGGGCACCTTGTGACCTCATCATGATGGGGTTTCTGTTCTGTCATTATAGACAAATATTGTACTTTTTTTGGGGGGGGGGTTTGCTCTTGCCTTTTTGTATTGGTCAGCCATACTGTGTGTCTGTCCTGCTTTTCAAAATATCATTTTTATAATTCTGATGCACACAAACATGTGGCTCGCTCACATGGGTATAAGATAGAATTCATACGTCACTAGTGACCTTACCCCTTATTAAGAAATTATTTGCCTAGCATAGGTACAATGAATTTTTTTGGTCTTCATTGCTGGCTTTATGATCAAACATTTGGTAACTTTCAGATGGGCCTGGCTTTGACTATGTACTGCTAGTTGTTTTATAAGTGACTTCTTTGCCATTTCAAGTGGCATGATCCTATCCATTTTAGCTTCCCCGTCCTACGTAATAAATCAAATGGATTCAGATTCCAGATTTGTAGTGAAATCCTCGGTAGCTATTTATGTGTGCCAAGTTTGTTGGACGAATGGTGGTCATGTATGTCAATCTCTTGATGTCGTTTTTGTCATTCACTGTGCAGAGCTAAGGTCTGGTCTTCTAATTCAACTATTCGTGTATATGCTCTATTGCCTAGTATCGAGGCCAAAATAAAAAATGCCGAGTATGGTCTTTTTATTGAATAATTCAACGTGTTTAGTCCTTTAAAATGTGCTCAGTTGTGAAAGGCTTGATTGGCTGTCTGAAGAGTATTATCATTATTATTATCAATAATATACAAAATTGTGAAGTTGTGCTAAATGCTCACTGGTTTCCAACCTCTTATTTTCAATTCATGTTGCAGTTGTCAGGTATTTAGAGTAGATAATTGATGACATGAAGATGACATGAAGCTTCCACATTATGGATCCAAATTTAGCAGCTGGTGTAGAGGGGAAGCATCACAGTCAAGGCCACCAGTGATCCTATCCTACAAATGCAGTATGGGATCTTTTTCTTCCCGTTTGTTGGAACTTTGCACCATTGCAGCTCGTGGCCGTATTTGTTTCGACACGGACTTTTGTATAATATTTGGTAGAATGTTGTGATAATTAGATAGGATTTTAGGTAGTTTTCCGTAGCATGTGTACATTGCTAACTACTGCTACTCATTAAGTTCTATTGGTGACTTCTTTCTTTGGTTTTGTGGTGGCAGATTCAGGATTCCTTGGTGTTATACAAAGATATTCTGTAATTCCAACTTCTTGAAGTCATTATTGGTTCACATGAAATCTCATTCTATGTTGTGGTATCCTGAGTCTGGCATTGGGTTGTTAAAACGTAATAACCTTAGGGAGATGTTACTTTGTTTTCAATCAAGCGAGTTCATCTTTTGCTCTGCTTTTGTCCCCAATGGTTTTGTAATATGATATCCTGAGCATCTTAGGAGTGATCGAGCAAAAGCGAACGTGTTTCTGTGGCTATTAGGCGGTTTATAGTCGAGATTAATACAATTGTACAGCCAAGGGTTTTATTTTTTCCCTCCATGCGTGCCTTATATTAGTTATTGTGATTAAGCTGTTATTTCGTCGGCGACGGTGAATTCTTCCGAGAACCAAGAGCTTTGTACGTTTGCAAACCATAACACACAAAAGAAATGAGCTTGCGATTATGAAGGACCCTTGACAGGCGCCTTTTATTTTTGGGTATGCCAAGCTCAATCCAAATGGAGTATTTGTTTTGATCCAAAAAGACATGCCCTTAGTGCAGAAATAAACAACTTGTCGGAGAAGCCTCGCCTCTCATTATGCAAATGGTTCTTGTAAATAAGAGTGACATGTGTTATATGAAAATAAAAGGTGACGATCGAAATCAGGAAAACGCCAAGATGCCAATGGGTTAGAAGTTTAAACGATGGAGTAATTTCTTGGGAGGGAGTGAGCAAAGCGTCTTGCCAGTTATGCTCTCATCACTCGCGCGCTGGTCGTTGTGCTCTCACGTCTCGCTCTGCCATTTCAAACCCAGAAGTTTCTCTTCGTCGTCTTCCTCTTCGTCTACATCTTTCCATTTCTCACCTTGGTCAGGCCTCCAAGCGTGGAGGCAAAGTCCTCTCAACGAGAATCGTAGCTGGGGACCCAATGGTCCCGAACCCCAGCTTCTTTCGGCTGCATCGACCACCGACGATGCGCATGATGCCCGGATTGGGGAAGCTGCTTCTTTGGCGGAGCTAGGCTCGCTGGTTCTTTCCACCAGTGATCCTCTCACCAAGTGCCGATTCTCTCATCTCGCTTACTCCAGGTGGCGCCGCGAAAACCTCCCTCTTGGGCAATTCACACCGCCCACCCGACCTGCCCGACCCGAAAAACCCAAATTGGTTCGTTTTTCATTTTGGTTGCTATAACTTATGCGCTGTGGGATAGCTTTTGGGTTGCCAAAAATGACGAAGTGGATCATGTTTGTGGGGCTAATACATTTCTTTTTTGTTTATCAACGCAAGTTATTATAACTTCTAAGCAATTCACTCCCAAAAAAAAAAAAGGAAGGAAAAACTTCTGGGCAAATTGTTCTAAAACATAAAAACAGTGGGGAGATTGTTGTTGTTGTTATTGTTACTGCTACTACTTCAGAAGGGATGACTACTTTTTGGTTTAACACTCTAACTTGACCCAAAACTCGTAAACATTTGTCATTCCACTTCACTTACTCCAATTACTTTTAACGCGGAGTATTCTCCACGTACTTGAATTCCTAGCGGTGATGAATATTCAATGAGCTAATGCAAGGTGGGGCCTTTGTGCTGCTTTGTTGGACTGCACGAGTTTTTGTCATGATTAGGCATGTGTAGAGAGTATTTTATTTTATCTTCATGCTGTGAAATGCAGTTTCCCTACTTAGGGAGGACTAAATTATTGCATGGGCTATTCCATGCCAATGCAGGTTTCTCCGAAGGAAATTCCTGATCCCAAAAGTTCAGGTTTGCCACTGAATGCTTATATGCTTCACAATTTGGCCCATGTTGAGCTCAATGCAATTGATTTGGCGTGGGATACTGTTGTTCGGTTTTCTCCCTTCAGTGAAATTCTTGGGGAGGGATTCTTTGCTGACTTTGCTCATGTTGCTGATGATGAGAGCCGCCATTTTTCTTGGTGTTCTCAGAGGCTCGCTGAACTTGGTTTTAAGTAAGGATAGTTGCACTTTACGCTTTTTTTTCCCTCCCTCCCTAAAACATTGGTTACAATGATTTATTTAGTATACTTTGTGCATAACTAGATATGGAGATATGCCTGCTCACAATTTACTGTGGAGTGAGTGTGAGAAATCATCAGACAATGTTGCTGCACGTTTGGCAGTCATCCCATTAGTCCAGGTAACTTTGTTCCTCTTGTCCGGTCCTATTCTCAAGGACTTCTTTTCCAGTCTGTGGATTGTCTCGTTGGGTGGTAAGCGGCTTATTAAATTTGACAATGCATCTGTTTGCATGAGTCTATATGTTTTGTTATTCCATCTATCAATTAGAGATTATGTGACAAATAGAATGACTCATGCAGACTCTGCTGCTGATTAAGTGACACATCATAACTTTTGACCTTGAAATAAGTGTGAGCACTGGTCTTACTATTGGAACAATCCTGAGAATTCTGATTTCTCGATCCTCTTTTGGTGGCAAATAGCGGGGCAGTGCTTGGAGAAAATTTTTTAAGTACTCCCTGAACATCGCCATCCTTGGATAAATGAGTAAAATATTGGTGTTTAATTGCTTATGATCAAGCATTCTGGAAGTGTTGCTCAAGGATTGTCACCACCTCCCTTGAGGAAATCCTAATCAAATGAAAATAAAATTGTCTTACCTTCATAGCTGGGTAGAAGGCTTTTCTTAAAAATATTTTGAGTCATGGGGATTGACACGAATCCACCTCTGATCTTTTTCCCTCAGACATCACATGCTTCAGAGATAGAAGCGCTTTGATCTATATGATCTTGATGCTCTGAATGTACTAATTTATTTTACTTGTAGGAGGCTAGGGGCCTTGATGCTGGGCCACGGCTGGTGCAGAAGTTAGTGGGATTTGGAGACAACAGGACATCAAAAATAGTCGCTAGGATCGCTGATGAAGAAGTTGCACATGTAGCAGTAGGTGTCTATTGGTTTGTTTATGTCTGTCAGAAATTGGATTGTCCCCCTGACTCCACTTTCAAAGGTTTTTGAAAACCTACTAGATCTCATTGCATCTGCACGCTTATGTCCATATGGAAGGTTTACAAGCTTCAATACTATTTTGTACGACCATGCAGACTTGCTAAAGGTGTACAATGTAGAACTGAAGGGTCCGTTTAATTTTTCTGCTCGAGATGAGGCTGGAATTCCCCGTGATTGGTAAGAACTTGTAGACTGAGCTTAAACTTAGCCTATTCCAGATAGCTGACAGTTGGCAGTTTACTAATCCTCCTTCCTGATTCTTGCTTTGTTGCTTGTGCTTGCCTCGTTTATTGTCTAGGTATGACCCATCATCTTGTGGCAGTCCTGAAAAGAGAGACGCAAATGACCAGAAAAAACGACTCTGTGCAGTAAGTAATTTGGGTTATCATGCGAGATTCTTGGATAGATTCAGTCTACAAAAGATGACTAGAACATGTGTATGAATGATCAGTAAATTAAGCTAATAATGCAGTGACATCTAAACATATATTAAAATTAGACTGGATTTTGAAATATGCAAATATGAAGCTTATCGATTTCAATTTAAGTGGCTTGATGTCTTTGTTTTCAGTGGGTATGACAAGTCTACCTGATGGAACTTGGGTTTAGAGATAATTAGGATTATCTTATGTCACTACCCATGAAGTTTCAAGAGTGCTTCTGTGAAGGGTTTGACCTCATGGTTCCACCCTTGGAATTTGATCTTGTCTAGGGATTTTTTTTTTCCCCCGGTTCAGCACGTGCTTAAACAAGGAAAAATATCCAAATGTAGAAACCTTTTTAACATCTCAAGATGTTTAGTTTTTCATACCAAGGCACTTTTTTGAGCAATTATACCTTCTATAGTTTCAATTTTCGATATGGGTATGTTTAAATCCTTACTATCAATGGAGGGAATTCAGTGAAAAGAGAAGAGACTTGCGGGGGATGCACTCTACAGGGTCCCACATCATTATCCCTCCTCTTTCGTCATTAGGGGTCTGTTTGGTTGGAGGGGAGGGAAGCTAAAATTTTGGACCATTATACTTTTATGGTTTTTTTAATATTTCATTACTACTCATAAAATATATTATTATAATATTTATTTTAAATAAAAAATATTATACTAAGTAAAAAAAATATAAATGATTATAATTAAAAAATATATTATAACAAAAATTATTTAAATAAAAATTATAATATTATAAAATTATTATTTTTATAAATATATTATTTATTAAATATATTTTAAAGCCGAAAAAAAGGATAGCCTAAAGAGAAAAAAATTTCATTTTTCTTAGAGCATATAAAATTTGTTAATTTAATTATTTCAAATATATTATTATATTAGTTAGAATAAAAAATTATGGTACCAATTTTTTAATGCACATATTAACATGATAATACTGAATTTTCATTAAATTATATAATTTAAATTAAGATGTAAATTAATTTATATAATATATCAATAAAAAATATAAACTAATATGTAAGGGTAAAATATTAAATTATTTATTACTATTCCTCTCTTCTCTTTTTTGAACTAAACAAGAGATCATTAAATATTTTTCTTTCCCTTTCTTCTCAATCAAACCAAACAAGATGGGGATAAAATCTCTCCTTCCCTTCCTTACCCTGCCCTCCCCTGTCTCTCCTACCCCTCAAACCAAACAAACCCTAGATCTCCATTTCGAGTGGGGATCAGAGTTCAGATTCGGATAATCTCAAGTGATCAGATGGTTTTCAAATATAGACAACTGAAAAAGAAAATAAAAGAAGGGGGGTGTCTCAATATTAATATTATAATTGGTATGAAATATGAGAAGGAAGAAAAGAAGAAGAAGTAAAGGATGCTGCAGCTCTATCTTGAGCTGTGAACGGAGCTGCCTCAAGTAATGCAAAAGAATTTGACAAAAAAAGAAGTAATGTAAAAAGAAAAAGAAGTAAATCTTGTGCGTATTTTTGGGTGAGTCGTTTAACTTGAAGACACTTAATTATCTCTTAGTTTGAGGGGATTAAAATTTTTCAATGTTAGTAGATCTTTTTGCCAAAAATGATGAGTATGTGTGTGCTGTAGCAGGTTCGGGAGAGGCTGGCTTCCATGATTGATTTGGAAGGTGAGAATTTCAATTTGACCAGATGATGGTGGATTGGAAGATGCTTGAAGCATCCTTCCTTGACTTGAGGCCGATTCCAGCTCGCTAGCCTGCCTTTGCTTTGGCACCCGCGTGGTGACGTAGGACCCCCTTTGGATTTATATTACGGGTCTTTTTTGGGACTTCAGTTCTTATCCTTGGAGGATAAATTATTGCAGCATATATTCCTCACTATTGCATTTTTTTATGCCTTTTCTTTTTTGGGATTTTTTTTTGTCCCGGGGGGGGGGGGGAATCAATCCTCAGGCACAAAAATATAGCAACGTTGCTGTAAAGTCCAGAGTCCTTTTTTATTGCCTTTTTTCTTTAAAACAACGCTCTATATGTTTAGAAAGTGTTCATCATCAATGGAATATAATTTAATCTGTTTTTCTAAGTGTAGTGGGAATACAATGTGGCGTAAAACAGAAGAGGAAGAAAGGGGAGAGACAAAGATTAGGGAAAAAAGAGAGATCAAGAAGATTAGTGAGAAATTGCATCGTGAATGATTCGATCCATATCCAAAATCTACCGACGATCCTAACAATACTTATAAGAAAAAATTGTCAAAAAAACTGCCCAGATAAAAAAAAAAATACAAGCAAGGAATTCTAATGACGTTAGTGTGGGTTTAGTATAAGTTTTGATGGAAATTTTTATAAACCAGTCTTTGTGTATAATTTTTCTATTTCGGAATTTTTTTTAACCATTTTCCCTACTTATAAAGTAAATAATAATAAATGCTAATCCTAATCAGTCTTAAAATAATAAAAAATAATAAATTAAAAGAATTCTAAAATAATAATCTAAATCATATCCTAATAATAAAATCTTGAATTTAATCTAATAATAATTATCTTTATCCCATATTAACATCAAAATTGTGATGTTCTTAAAATCGCAAAATTAGATGTGGTCCAATAATTGAGATGAGAAATTTGATTTGAATAATAATATAACCTAAAGATTGTTGAAAGCGTACAAGGAAAACAAAAGGGCTCTTTGATGGGAAACTTCTTTAGGATCTGACGATTGAAAACGTGTCTTCCCTTCCTCACAATAACAGAACAAAACAACCCTATACCTACTTCTTTTCACTTCTCTTTCTCTCGTTCCATTTCAATAACAAGAAGAAAGTTGCAGACTTGTGAAAACGGCCCCCGGAAAGAAAAACAATGTGTAGCTCCGACGGAGATTGCAGGCCTTTGGGTTTCCTTCTGGGTCTTCCCTTCGCCTTCCTCTCTCTTATCCTTTCCGCTGTCGGCCTCGTCGTCTGGATCATCGGGTACACCCTTCTCTTTCTTCTGTAACTCACTCTTTCTTAATCATCTGGGTATCGCCGATTTCCCAGTGACGACTTCAATTTGTGATTTTTCTGCGATTTCTTCTTCTGGGTAGCTGTAACTTCGCCGCTTGTGATCTGGCTTTCGATCTAAATTAAATTAAAATACACGAACACACGCAGATTCACGAGACTCTGAATAATCGGTACTGATTGATTTGGGGTTATGATATGTGCAGATTGTTGTTGACATGTATATGCCCTTGCTGCTTGTGCCTGACGGTGATAGTGGAGCTTGCTCTGGAGTTGGTGAAGGCTCCATTACATGTCATGGAGTGGTTCACTTCTCAGATCCCTTGTTAAGATTTCTGTTTGTTCCAGCCATTTCTGATTTATAACCAACCTCTTGTTCATATATACATGTGTGTGTGTGTTTTTTTTTGGGGGGGGGGGGTTTAAGTTATTGTTGATCTTTGTGGTTTCTGGGTTTATCTGGAAAACTATTGCTTAATTCATCGAATTCCAGTAGCACAATAACGAAATTGCGGATTTCCACTTCGGTTTGTTCTGTCTGTTTTGCATTTGCCATTGCTGACCGAGGAAACAAACGGCCACAGTTTCTGTAACGAACAACTTCCGTTTGATCTTCATCACCAATACAATGATGTGAATCTGTTTCCAAGGGAAAATTGGATATTATTGTATAGAGTCTGCCTTTTTATATGTGTGGGTATATGGGTGTGTGTATAATCTTTCATAATATACGATTGCAAACAGTACATATGGTTGTGAATAGCAAGCCCCGTGCTTTGTTTCCTACTTGCAAGCTGCGCCAAGTGTGATGATATCTTATTTGGTTAAAAAAAAAAAAATCTGAGATAATTTAATTGATAAACGAGACCACGATTAAGAAATTGCTCATTTGTTGTCTAAAGGATGAGAATTATGTGCATCACTAATCGTTTTTGGATTTTCAGTCAAATTTTAAATGAGAGCTACAGAAGAGAATCTTATAAAAAGAGATAAACGACGGAAAAGTATTAAATAGAGATAAAATTAGAAAGTTGTTAAATTTTAAATGAGAGTTAATAAAAAATTTTATTAGTACATGTGAAATATGTCAAAAATAGTTTATAGGGATAATTAATCTGCAAGTCCTTATAGTTTCAACCAATTTTGAATCAGGTCCCTATAATTTTTTTTCTTTTTATCAGATCCTTATACTTTCACCTGTTTTTAATTAGGTCCTTGTATTTATTTTTCTTTTTATCAAGTCCTTATAAGATCACCTTATTTTTAAGTAAGTCCCTGAATTTTTATTCTTTATTTTATAAATTCTAATAGTACTATTTTATAAACATAAAATAGTATATATTATGTAATATTAGTTTATAAACAATAATATTCTAAAAATAATGAATTATTATAATAATTTATTTTTTTAGCAAAAAAAATTAATTGTTTTAAAAAAATTTCCTTAATTAATTAATTATATTACTTATCTTTTATTATATAATTATTAATATTTTATATTTCAGTACTAATTTATTTAATTAATAAATAAAAATTAAAACTAGATGGACCTAATTAAAATTTTAGTGAAATTATAATGACTTAATAAAAAGAAAAATAAATGTGAGGACCTAATTAAAAATAGATGAAAGTATAAGGACCTGATAAAAAGAAAAAAAACTATAAGGACCTAATTCAAAATTGGTTAAAACTATAAGGACTTCTAGATTAATTAACCCTAGTTTATAAATAAGCCCAGAGTAGTATAAGATAAGTGGGAAAACCATATTAGAGGTACTTATACTTTTTTTCAATTTTTAATTTGGTACCTATGTATTTTTTGTTCTTAACTAAATCTTTATTTTTCCTCTATTAACATCATTAATCTTTATGTAGAGACTAAAAATATCAATAGAACAAATTTATAAGAGCTAATGTTGCTAAAAAGATAAAATTAAATGTTTAATTAAAAAAAACATATAAATACTAAATTAAAAATTGAGAGAAAATATAGTTACCTTCAATATAGTTTTCCAATCGTGTTTCTATGCATTTCCTAACAAGCAGTCAAGCACGCCGGTCAGGGGGCAAAAAAGAAAAAAAGTAGTCAAGCACTGGAACCAACCAGCACGTCTTTGGAGTTTGTTAGCCAACTATCATCGTCATTCATCAATGCAACACAAATCAAAACCGAGGGGGGCCATGTTTTCGCCCATATATTGTTTTATCTCAATGACATTTGGTTTTTTTTTTGGGGGGGGTCGAAGATAAAAATAATATTGTTTAAATTTATAATACTAAGCAATCATCTACCGTATTATTTTTACATAATATTAAGTTAATCAATTCAAAATTTAAAAAATAAAATAAAATGTTAAAAAGTCTCAATGATAAAGAAGAAATTTATTTATAAATAGCAGCTTCATAAAATCAAGGGAAAATAATAAATAAAGAAGCTAGAAAATGTGATATTTCAAATCAGGAATTTAAGAGTTGAAAAATGATAGAAAAGAAAGTAATGTGTGATATAGTACTTTGTAAATATAATTAAATGACTAAAATACCTTTATATCAAAAAAATTTATTAACAAGTTTTGAAATAGTAATAATAAGTGTTGAATAACAAATGACAAGAATTATATTGACAATAAAAATTTATTTATTAACAAGTTGTAAATTGGTAATAAAGAAGTGTTAAACAATCAATAATAAAAAATATATTGATAATGACAAATGTGATAGGTTTTTTTTTCAAATTTAATACAGTAAAATTTTAGCCATTTAACTATATTTGCAAAATATCTGATTAGGTACTACTTCTTTTTCTGTTATTTTCAATTTTTAGGTGCATGAATTGAGAAATGATAATTTAAAGGTTTTTTCTGGAATTTTCCATAAAATCAATCAATATTAAAATAAAAATTGGAACAACACGCGCGCGCGCGTGCCCGCGCGAAAATGAGTGAATTATTATGCCACTGTCTTTCAAATGTCTAAAATTTTCAAACCCTGTACACACACACACATATATATATTATTTAATGTCCCTGTTCCTCTGTTTTCTTTAATATAAAACAAATATCTAAAGCAGGCAAATTGAGTTATAAACTTTAAATATGTAATAGATAGGACTTTTCCCAGTGATGCATTTGCTTAGGAAAATTAATCAGGTTGACTCATTTATTAGTGAGATTATATCTCTCCTCTAATAAGGACACTAACTGAAAATTATAATAATAAATTCTTTAAACACTAATTATTTTTTAATATATAACAACAAAACTACCCTCCCAAAATTCTCTTATACAATCCCTCCAAACCCACCAATTGACTCATGATGATTGTGCCTTGCCCCTTGAAAGTGCCATGTCTTCTCATCATCGTCCCAGTATCCTTAAAATCCTCTTTTAATGTCCCCCCAAGCAACTCACTTACCCTTTCACCTCTCAAACTTAAAGCTAATAATCTGCAATTTTTTGGTTTCATATACACATACATATAAAGAAATATGAGAGTAGCACACCTCTAAAGTAGACAGTAAAATACATAAAATAATAGTACTTCCTCCAGTCCTTGATATAAGATTTAACTTGTATTGTAATTTATGCTACAGATTAGATCTTATATTAACCATTAAGATAGTATATAAATTTCATCTTTACACCCTTCTCTTTCCCTCTCATTCTCTTCAGCAAGATGGCCTCTTGTTCAATTAAAACACACACACACACACACACCCATATGCGTGTGTATTTATCTATTAGTAGTACAGCACGTCTTGCTGACCAGTGCAGGGAGATGATTCAATAATTCAAATCATCACAATTATAATAAAGAGAAAATATAGTGTTTGTTTTCTGCTCTCAACCTGATCAATCAACGCACAGAATCTAAGCAACAAGTAGGAGGGATAAACAATAATGCATGGTGTGTATATATAAAAGTCTCTACCAGCAATATCACTATGATACTGTGGGTAGGATCCCAAGATTTGAAACATTGATCCTAACACATTCGAACGTGCAAAAATCCTTCAGTTTTTTTCTTTTTCTTCTTTTTTATTATGTACTGTAGAATTAATCTACTCACAGATTTGTCAGTATACGTATATGGAAAGCCGTAAACTAACGTGTGTTAAACATTGATTCTAAGGCTATAGTATGTAATTTCAGCTTGTAGGTGTAGTTCAATCCTTCTGATTTGTATGTTGCTGCTCAATGATCAGCCTGCAATCTATACTAGGCAAATTCCACCTAAATGAATAAGCAGATGAATATTAATTACAACGATGAATTATTTCATTATTAAGAGCTTGTTTCATCTGTAGTTTGAGTAATTAATTTGGTACTATTTTGAGTCTCTTGTTGAAATTAAACTGATATTGACATATGAATTTCCCTGATCTCTTGTAGTTGTGGAGAAGCATGTTTTTATGGCAGGAACATGTTATTTTAATGTTTTTTTCGGAGATGCCAATTTGACTAAGACTGGATACCACTTAATTCCTAATCGATCTCCTTTATTAGAGTAATCATACATGCAAAAGCAATGCAATTTAAAATTCCATACTGGACATGGAATGACCACCTGAGTAGCATCAATGGAAGGCACAGAGATGATGAAGCTTGCCAGATTCTCTAGCTGTCGTGGTGTTGCATTCGAGATCAATCCAAATAGAACCAATCCTTTTGCAATAATGGGGTTGCCGGGTCCGGCGCCGCCGCGGCCACCATCGCCAACGCAAGATAGAATCGGAGCTAACTTGACATGGCTTCCATGGAGTCGGAACAGTTCTTTCAAGATAGTCCCTCGGTCTCACTACTCAGTTAGCCCGAGTCGAAGCCGAGCCAGCAGCCACTTCTGTGACATTGAGATGGATGAAGCAGACGATGAGGTTGAGGTAGAGCTCATAGCAGAAGTTGTGGATGTAGGGACACCAGAGAAGGTTAAGATTGCACCGCCAAAGAATGAGAAAATGTCAAGGTTGTCTGTGATTCTGCTTGATCAGGGCTTCACGGCGTACAAGATCTTATTCTTGGTTTGTTTGAGCTGGAACATGGTTGCTTTGGCTCTTGCAGCTTCAGGCTATTTCCAATATGGGCGAGACAGAGCCACATTCTTCTCCATTGCCAACATTTGGGCTCTAACTTTGTGCAGAAGCGAGGCATCACTAAGATTAATCTTCTGGTTCGTTGTGAAAACTCTTGGTAGGCCCAGTGTTCCTCTCAAAGTCAAAACTTTGATCACTTCCTTACTTCAAAGCGTTGGAGGAATTCACAGTGGTTGTGGGGTTTCTTCCATAGCTTGGCTTGTCTATTCTCTGGTCCTTACAATAAAAAACAAAGAACAAACTTCCCCAGAGATTATCGGATTGGCTTTTGCGATTCTCACTCTGATTTCTCTATCTTCCCTCGCTGCCTTTCCTGTTATTCGCCATCTTCATCACAACTTGTTCGAAAGAACACATCGTTTCGCAGGGTGGATGGCTCTGATTCTTCTCTGGCTCTTCATCATCCTCTTCATGAGCTATGAGCCTAGTTCAAAAACCTACAATGTAAGCATCTCTGTGTTCATAAGAGACAAGAGTTTTGGTTCACCATAGCCATAACCATCCTCATTATCATACCTTGGTTAACTGTAAGAAAAGTTCAAGTAAAAGTGTCAGCAGCATCAAGCCATGCTTCGGTTATAAAATTTGAAGGTGGGGTTAAACCAGGACTACTAGGAAGAATCAGCCCATCTCCATTATCAGAATGGCACGCCTTTGGGATCATATCAGATGGGGAAAATGAACACATAATGCTGGCTGGTGCAGTAGGAGATTACACCACGTCTTTAATCTCAAACCCACCAAGCCACCTTTGGGTTCGAACCATGCACTTCGCTGGCTTGCCTTATCTGATAAACCTGTACCAGAGGGTGGTTTTGGTGGCTACTGGTTCAGGGATTTGTGTGTTCCTATCGTTCCTGTTACAACCATGCCCAGCAAGTGTGTTTCTAGTGTGGGTGGCTAAGGACATTGAGATGAACTTTGGGAAGGAGATTATGGAGTTTCTGGGGAGATATTCAAAAGAGAAGATGATTGTTCATGACACTGCAATTAGTGGGAGGCCTAATGTGGGAGAGATGAGTGTGAATGCCGCAATTAGATGGGATGCTGAAGTGGTAATTGTTACTAGCAATCCTGAAGGAAGTAGAGACGTTGTTAGAGCTTGCAAGAAGGCTAGGATCCCAGCTTTTGGACCTATTTGGGATTCTTGAAGGACAAATGGAAACTAAGCTAAGGCCAGTGTATACGTAATATGTTAGTATTCATTCACTTCCCCCGTCTAGATTGAACAGGGTTTGCTTCATAATAATTATTGCAAGTTTGTAGAATTGGAGCCTTTAATATATATATTACTACTAATTCCTTCATCATTTGTTCAAATTTTTTTTGTTACAATTATCACTACAGAAAATTTACAGTTATTTACTAAGTGAAGAGAAGCAAGAGGCTTTATGCTAAAAAAAAGGCGCCACTTAATACTTTTTATCCTAAATGTGATTTGTTTATATCATCAATGTTTTTATCTTTGGCTTGAAATGGTTGTTAAAAATGTACTGATAAAATAAATAAATAAGCTAAGTAAGCTCAGTTTAGAGTTTACTAAGAATAAACGTATTATACATATTGACATGCTCTTTAACACGACATAAGTAGAACACTTAAAGATACATAATTATTAGCTTATGCAATTGCATAGAGTGGCAGAGGACTACTTTCACACTACTAGTGCAATTGCTTCAGCATGGACTATGTATAACATTGCACAGACAACCCAAAACAAAAGAACATAGTTGCACACATTGAGCCAACAAAACTCAAAAGGACGAGAGGAGTTTACAAATTGACATTCTGCAATCGCCAAAGCGACTTTTATTTATTGACAAACTCCGCAAAACAAACACCAAAACATCAAACATACTGAACGTTTCTGTCTATCAAACCCAAAAAGAACGTCAGGTTTTCCGAGCTTCAGAGGTTTCTCTTCTACGCTCTTCAAGTGCGAATCCCCCTTGGTTGCCACGATCAAACTCTGATCCAATGCTCTGTTTTGAGCCTGCCTCTATTTCATTATCTCCCACAACCATCGTTTTCGTTGTCTGTGCTATTTCTGCTATGGTTTCTCCAATGGCATCGATGACCCCACTTCCTGCTTGACCCTTTGGGACTTGTTCTGAGGCTCTCTCTGCTGGTTTGATCATCGTCTGTCCGATTTCACCCACAGTTTCTCCTACAGCTTCCATAACCTCGCCTCCTCCCTGGGCTACAGTATCTAATGGCTTCTTCATTGTCTGAGCAATATCTCCCACTGTTTCTTTAGTGGATTGTGCATATTGGCCTATAGTTTCTTTAGTGGATTGGGCATATTGGCCTATAGTTTCGCCAATCCCACCACCTTCTTTTGTTTGCCCTCCTCCTTGCTGAAAGGTTCCACTGATGTTTTGGAGCATGCCTCCTTCTCCTCCTCCTCTTTGTTGACCTTGTTCCTGTCCAGATGATGGCCTCCACTCAGTTTCTCAAGTGACACAGGCATAAAGAAGTCTCAATTTTCAGCAGTTATAATTGTACGGTTTTTAATGGTATCATAGCACATTTACTAGAGAAAGGTTGCAAAAATTTTGAAGTACGAAGCCTAAATGAGAAGTGATAAAACGAAAGCTTTTACTACCATTCTCTTCACATTGTAGAAAGCAAAATAACAGAAACACACAAATGCTCATAAATTACTTCTCTTTCCCCCCAGATCCTGACATGACATTAACCTCCATTGTACACTAATTTGAAAACTTGAAGGACAGATATATCAGAGTAAATTTCCTCAGTTTGGAGAGCTGAAATATAAAATTCATAACAAAAAGTATTCTTTTTATGCCCTGAAAAATTCAATCAGAATCTATTTCACAAAAACAATAAAAAGTACTCTCTAAATTTCTTATGACTACATTTTCCAACAAAATTATCAATTCTGAAATGTTCATCACCATTTAAGAAACAAGGAGTGCATGTGAATTTGAAGCTTTAAGCTCAAGCATGCGTAATGAATATATAAATTAGGACTGCGATAAAGCGAATAAAAACCTGTGGCTGAGGCGCTTTTTTGGTCACATAATCCTTCTTTGCCTCCTCCTTCTTCCTCGCAGTATAATCCTTAGCAGTATCCCCAGCTTTAGAAGCTAACCCTTTGACAGCATCCAATGACTTCGATGCAATCTCACCGGCCACATTAGCAGCATATCCCGCCGTTCCCTGAACAATATTAGCCGCCGCTTTCGTCCCCTCCACCGTCATCTCCGTGGAATAATGCGCCGCCGTCCACCCTGCCACAGTCGCCTTGTCCTTCAGATCAGCCGCTACTTTTCCAGCATATTCAGCCGCAGTCTTACCAGTCTCCACAGTGACATCCTTAGCCTGGCCGGCTTTCTCTCCAATGTATTGCGTAGTAGTGCTACCTGCAGATTTCGCCTTCTCTGCTGCTTGAGAGGTGTAATCTGAAGCCGTCCCCGTGGCGCTTGAGATGGCGTCTTTTGCAATAGCATAGCCTTGTTGGCCTTTCTCTAATGTCACGTCTTTGGCTTGAGCAGCCTTCTCTAGTGTGTAATCCTTGGCTTGAGCAGCCATCTGTGCAGCTTGAGCAGCCTTGTCTTGTGTGACGTCTTTGGCTTGAGCAGCTTTCTCCATTGCTGTTTCCCTTGCTTTTGCAGCCTTCTCTTGAGCTGTTTGGGTTGTCGAACCGACTGTTTCACTAGCTGCCTGCTTTGCTCTCTCATACCGATCCTGTGCTGCTCTCATGGCTTCCATTGTGTTCTCTTGAACTTGGCCTCTGTATTTGGAAATATCTCCCAAGGTAGATTGCGATTCTTTCTCCTGATCGCCACCTCTTCCTCTGTTTTCTTCAAGTTTTGCTCTCTCTCTTGCTGCTTCTAATTCTCTTGCACCTCTTCCTATTTCTTCCTTCTCGCCTCCTTCGATTGTACAAGTTATAACAGCAGTAGGACCTTGAGTTTTAACTCCAACCCTTCCTTTAACTTCTCCTTCTGTGCCTCTCCCCAGTTTCTCTTCTCTTGATTCTTCTCTGATTCTAGCCTCCCCTCTGTTCTCCAAGCTTCGTCCCACTTCTGCTCCAACTTGCCCTCTGCTTTCTCTTCTTCCTTTCTCCGCTCCAACTTGCCCTCTGCTGTCTCTTCTTCCTTTCTCCGCTTCAACTTGACCTCTGCTTTCTCTTATCTGTTTCTGCACAGCGCTTTCCGTCGGTCTGCCCGTATTTACCACTCTGGTTCGACTCTCGAGTTCAGATTGATTTCTCCCTCTAGCTTCTCCAGCTGAATCCTTGTTCTCTCCAGCTTTCACTTCGAACTTGCCCACATTTGAATGAGGCGCATTGTTCCTGGCTTTAGCGGCATACGACTCTTTATTCTCCTGCTTGTCTCCCTTCACCTTATCAGCAAGAGATTCAAAATGAGGCCCTAATTCATGAGTCTCCCTTGTTTTCCCAGTCCCACCGATATCCCCAATGGCTCTCCCACCGTGCTGCTTCCTGTACTCCCCGCCCTGTAACTCCTGAATACTCCCTTGCGGAGTGTCCGATCCTTCCTTAACCTGTTCAGCCAAATGCTCGAAGTGGGTGGTCATCTTGGGGACTCGATTCTTCTCAACATGAACGTCCCTCTCGGTCGTCGTATTCTCCCTGCGAGACATTTGCTCCGACGCCATTGTTGTCAACTTCTTCTATAAAAGTGATCGCTTTGTGTTTGATGGAATACTTGTTTGACGAAATGCTTGTGTGAGATGAAACACGCAGAGAGACATGAACGTGTGGGATATAAAAGGGGAAGTGGGTATGGCGGTAGAGAGGAGGTGGGTGGTGGATGGGTATGCATGAGAGAGGACATGTGGTGGCAGAGGTGGCGGCGGTGCGACGTGGATGACGGTGGTAGCGCCATAGGGGTGACTCAGCTTTAAGTTTGCAGAAGTTAACGAGGCATGAAGATGACGATCAGTATGGGAATGATGGAAGGCTCTGTAAGGAAGACACATGGAGACTATGAACGAATGACCCGTGTAACCCCGGGGAGGGGCGAGACCGAGACATCTGGCCCCTGTTTTCTGTTCATCCACAAATCTGGCCAGCCTATTATTTATCCAGTATGATATATATGGCCTATCCAATAATTGGATTTGATTCTTTACTCGTGGAACACACTACACGTGTAGAGTAAGGTTTTTTTTGTATTACTTGGGACTCAAATAATAATTTAAAATGTTTATAAAAATATTTTATATCTAAGCTTGAATTCTTTAGTTATCATTTATCACCCAATTTATCAATTAGAACCAATCAACTTTAGCTTTGAAAAATGGAGTTCAAATGCCATTCAGAATCATCAAATTATTAAACTGAAAAATAAGTTTTTATAGTTTAGTCGTTACTTTGGTTCTACAGCAATCAAGACCACCGTAGGACTAGACGTAAAAAGTTATGGACAACTGAATTATGAAACATCCATCATCAATCAATACAACATATACAAAAGTGGATCGAGTTGCATTACTCATAAGTCACGAGTTCTGACTATCGCATGCCATTTTTCATACGCATATTGCATGGAATTAAAAACAAAAAGACAAAACTTAGATTAAGTTAATTAGCTTCCTTAGGACCATTCCTTCAATCAAAATAAGCCAGCTGGATTAAGTTTTGCCATCAGCATTTAACCCCCAAAGCACATGTTAAACACCGTTAAAGTCTGGAAGTAAGCTTTTTTTTTTTTTTTAAATAATTCCAGCCAGTCATTTTTTACATTAAGTGATGGTATTCGAAGATCAAAATCAAAAGTTAAACGTGATGCTTCCAAGTTCAAACTCTCCTGTTAGTAGCAAATTGAACCTTCATCAATCTATTGCAATCTTCTACCTAAATCAATTGCTGGGGAAATAAACCACTAAAGCCTAAATTATAAAATCAATAAAGAATTTTTGGGCTCACAATGTCACAGACAGTGAACGCAAGGGAAGAGATGGGAAGGTCTGTCTCATTATCCTCCTCGGCAGAGAGTGCCGAACAGAAGACACAAAAACATTGAAGTGTTTCTGCGGTTCCAAATAGAAGATACAATGACTTGGCCAATCCTCTCCTTGGCCTAAATTATTTCGCCGTCCTTCCCGATCGTCGCCAATCCGCTCTTCACCATCGTCCTAAAGCTAATCTTCTTTTTCAAAAAAGAAAAAAGAAGCCTTTTTAACAGGCTCTAATGGTGTTTAACGTATGCTTTGGGGTTAAACGCTGATAGGGCAACTTAATCCAGCTGGCTTATTTTGATTGGAGCAATGTACATAATAAACCTAATTAACTTGACCTAAGTTTTCTTCTTAAAAAAAAAGATAATTGCACGTCATTTTTTGAATTCTATGGAATGGTTGCCTGGTGGAGGTGAGATGGGCTGCAAACTTGCAGCATAAATAGGACTTCCTTTTCCCCCCTGAATAGTAGGGGTTTTTACATATTCCTCCGGTCTTTAATATAAGACTCATTTAACTAATTTGATTAGATTAAGGAAGTTAGGTAAATTAGTTAATTATAAGAAATGTGACACGTTTTTCCTAAAATACAATAATTATCTTTTTTAATACCTCATCTTCTTCTTCTACTTGATTATGGTTGGGAGAATATCTATAGGGATAATTTAGAAAAAATTGATAAATATGATAAATGGGTCATATATTTAGAACCAAAACCAACTTAATAATTAGTTTTTATATTAAGGACCAGAGGAGTACATATAAAGTTCTTCGCTTTATCAAGTAGGGCTTGAACGTAGACTTAATTTGAAGCAATGGACAACAATTGAGAAGGCTAATTAATTATTTGGGAACAAATGAAGGCAAGTTTATGCCAAAAATAGTGTAGCTTTACAATTTTGGAGCATAATAACACCAATGCCTTGCTGGGTTTATTAGCCCCACTTACAGAACCAAATTAAAAATCCCCCTAAGCAAAAGAAAGAGAAGGAAAAAAGAAAGGACTTACCCTGTGGAACAAACAAGTTGAAAATATTAAGAAAAGAGAGCAGCATGAAGAAGAAGATTCCAGGTATCAGGCAAGCCAGGGAGACACCAATGGCTGCAATCAGTTTCCATGACCTTACTGTAAGCTTCTGGATGCGCATCTTTCCTGTACTGAGAGAGTGTGGTCACATCCAGAAAGTATACCGGCTTCTTCATCCTGCTCAACACTTTGTTCACCACCACCCATGCCATTGGTGTCCCTGCTGGGTACTTCAGACCAAAGTATGGCTCTGTCTCCCTCATGCATGACCTTGCTGGTTCATTCCAATCTCTTCCCCTGTGTGCGCACATATAAATATTCATTCACCGTTCACTATTCTAACTCACTCACACAATACATTCTTATGACTGTTTAAAAACCCGTTTGCCTTGGTTTAAAGTAATTTAAGAGTCTTGAAAATTGCAAAAGTTCACTTTTCAATAAATTTCAAGATAGGATATGCATGAAAACTTTTCAATAGATTATAAAAATGCATTTTTTCAATAAATTTAAAGGTGGGTTAATAACTCTGTTTAGTGGTATGAAAACTTCCTTATAAGTGAGAGGTTGTGGGTTCAACATCGCTTATAATTTCTTATGATTAATGCCACATGCTCTTCTAGAGGAAAGAAATGTTTTTGAGGATGGAGAGGGGAAGGACATACTCATAATGTACAGGAGAAATGCCTAAGAAGAAGACTTTGGTCTTGGCAGGATCAACATTGAGGTTGACCCACCTAGCCCAGGTGGTGAGCCCTTTGTAGTAGGCAATGAACCTGTTCATGTCCTTGTACAGTTTCTTATCTGCCTCCATGTATTCCCACCTGCATCCTCCCAGTTAGTCTATTGTCACCAAACGTAATAACCCAACGGACAAACTTGCTTTAATTTTTCAAAGATGTTATTATTAAGGCAAGCATCATGAGCAATAATGTCACGAGATAGACAAAAGCGAGGTCATGGATCGTACGGCTGAGATGTTTCAGTGTGGGTCCACCAATGCCAGGTGTTGAACACCAGAACATCCATTCCTCTCCAGGCATCACCGCTCTTGATGGAATCAAGTTTCAGCACTCGTCCCACACTCTCACGATCAAGATCCACCAAATATGCCGTCCGGTACAGATTCAACTGTAGCCCATACTCCTGTTCACAAATTATCAACAACCCCATCATTTTTCACTTCTCACCTCACCATGTCTTTGTCCCATTTTGTGGTTCAGTTATATAAATTACACGATCTTATTGTACTTTATTAATAATTAAATTTTTAAACAAATTATTAACTTAAAAAGTTTTATGTTAATTCATATCATAAAAAAATCAACAAAAAGTAGTAGCAGTCTCACTTTGTAAGAAGAAAACTACAGATTTGGATTTCAAAAAGCATACTTATTGAAATAGTTATTCATTAACTGTTTCTTCTGACCTAAAAATGATTAATCTCTAAAAGATTCCCAGTTCCACCTTAAAAACAAAGAAGAAGAAAATTATATTGACAATGGAAAGCCTAACACAAACCCTTGAGTTTAAAAATCTCACTTCAATGCTACTATTATTGGTGAAAACTTTAATGTTAATGTATCATCCATCCCTATGCTATGCTCTTTCCTCAATTTTACGCCAACTTTCATTTTAATTAGGGTAAATCTAGGTGTAAGTACTATGATTCATTGCAGTAAATGATTTGTGAGTGTGTTACTTAAGAGTTCATTGTCCCTTCATGATCTAGCTGGAATTACTTAGGAGGACGGTGTGTGTCCAACATCAATCATTGCTAATTTTGACATTAATTTCCCTTTCAAGCATTTGGGTTCTGCCAGCCCAAACATTCAACGCAACAAAATCACGAGTTTCAAATATTTTATTGGAAAAACTATATAATAAACAAAAAAACCCTCTCACACAACTAATCCTTGTGTGCAGCTCTAATAACCAAACATTAAAAACTAATAAATCACCAATATAAAATATTGAAAAAAATATGTATAATCACACCATGCGTAAGGCATGACAAATTTACTTCTATTCAACTCGAAAGTTTGAATCAGATTTCAAGAGCAAGACCCACAAAGTGACACTGTTTTAAACTGTATATGTTTTGTGGAGTAGTATCTAATTAAATTGAGAAACAATAATAATGGGCACGTTGGAATTTGGTGGCAAAAGTGAGGGATTAATAAATTACGCAAAGCCTAAGACAGTATCATTAATTATGCATTACTATGAAAATCAGACATGTTCCCTGAAAAAGGCAAAAGCATCCCACCAATCACGTCCTTAACATTATTGCTCTCACCGTTCGTTGCTTTTCGCGCCGTAACAGACAAAAATATGCTCACCCCCAAGTTTGTATCAAAATCGGATTTTGGGGTTAACAGAAAAATATGATGAAAGTTTGATGTTATATATATGCAACTTTAGGCTGAAAAGAGGAGAAAATGAGAGAGAAAAGGAAAGAAATTTAATTAAATTAAGTAACCCACCTCAAAGGTCACTGATGTAAGAGGGCTCCCCTTGGAGAAGGTGGTCCTAGTGTTCGGCACCCAAGAGTAAATCATACAAGCCAGCGAGTTGAATTGGTTCAAACTCAGTGAGTCACCGACAAACATTATCTTCTTCCCCCTGTATTTCTCCAGGAAATTCGTAGCATTGAATCTGCTCCAAAATTATTCCCACCCACTTATTTAGTATTCACATTTACAAGCCATTGTATAATATATACATTAATATTCGAGGAAAAAAAAACAGAGACTATATAGAGAGACAGAGAGTGTGCTTTGAATTATTGCATGTGTATGTGCTTTGAAATGTGAGCAGAGATAAATTGTTTGTGGCAGAAAATGACTTTGTATAAAACAGGGGAAGAGAAGAAGAAAACAATGAAGTGTCAAGAGAGGACAACGATCCCGTAATGATCAATCTCTCTCTCATATCTCACTTTGAATGCAAAGCTGGATCTTGATAAATAAATGATCCAAATTACTAAAAAAAAAGATCTGAGTCATATTTTTCCCTTCAGAAGATAAATCCACTTTTACTCACTTACTTACTAAAAACTGAAAAAACGCATATAGATAGTAACATTCAAAACAGAGTGAATTCTTAGGCTCTGTGGTAGAAGCAGAGTAAGTGAGAATTGAGGAGGAGAAGGTTGAAGGAGAAGAAGGGAAAGTGGAGTGACCTGGGCAGGGGACATGAAAATGGCTGCCACCTGAATTTCTGGTACAGAGTGTCGGGACGGCCGTACTTTTGACAGTTAAACTGTGGATCTATGAAGGGACAAGAGGAGGGGTCGTAGAGAGGATAAGAAGCGTCGTACACCCATTTTCCTCTGAACCAGTTGCATCTTCTTCTTGCTCCTTCTCCTTCATCTGCCAGATTTCTGTCTGTTCTGTTCCTGATCCTGAGGGAATCCAATTCCTGTGCTTCTGTTTGGCAGCAGCAGGAAAGTAAAGCTAAAAACAGAGCAAGCAGGAACAGAGGTCGGAAATGGAAGGAGGAGGAATCCATTTTCTTGGGGGTTTGATCCCTCCCTGGAATCAGCTTTCCTTGAGGAGGAAATTGATGAGAAGTGAACAAGCTGCTCTGAAAACAATGCCTTATATCATGTTTCTCTTAGAGGGAGGTTTTCAAAGGAATTTCACAAGGCATGTTGAAACTTGAAAGCAATTTTTGTGCTATGGGTTCTTTTAAATGGGGCATGTGGAGTGCCCTTTTTCCGGTCATTACGTAATTATTGAATGTAATATAATTTAATAAAAAGGAAAAAAAAAGAGAGCCGAATACATAATCATAATTTTGGGTATTTATTATCATAAAAGTAAAAGAATTATATAATTACAATTAGCTTTGAAGTTATTATTTGGTGTATTTTTATGTTATAAATACATGATTGTGACCGAATTATATTTAATTACATTGATATTTTATGAATACAAAAATCATCTAAAAAGAGTTAAATTTATATATATTATACTATTATTTACTTGGATATGATATTTTTTAATTATTGGCCAAAATTATATGTCTTTTTTAATTAATTCGTAAATATTGTAATGTTGCGTTCTGAATCGGGAGTTTAGAAAGTGGGCAAACCAAGGTTGACCGCTGGTCTTCGGGGTCCCCTGGCGGTCATGCGGATGCTTAGCCTTTTGTCTATGGATTGGGGTCCTCATCACTGAGCCCTTTTCAGTTAAGTTTTAGCTTGTCATAGTTAATTATCAGATCACGATTTAATAATATTACGCGAGAAGTTGCATTTTTTTAAAAAAACATTTTAAACACCACTAAAGTATGATTTAATTATTAATATTTTTCAATTGAAGATATCAAAATTTCTTGTTTATAATATCACAAGGGTCTCTTATAATTGAGAATGATTGTGCAAAACGAAAAATAAATAAATAATGCCTTCTACTTCTTACCTTTTTCAAGCTAACATCACATTATTCAGATGATTTTAGATATAATACAGATGTAAAGAGGTTTTTGAAAAGATAGTCTTTTAACTGAAAGCTGTAAGAAAAAGATTTTTTTGTTACCCTAAAAAAAAAAATAACTTTTGTATCATTTATTATTTTCATATGTTATTTTCCAAAAAAAAAACGGGGATGCTTTTATCATGATGTACAAAATTTAAAATACGATGCCAAAAAAAGATTAAAATAAACCCCTCTATTTATAATTTATAAAAAAATACAGCTTATTATAAAGCTTATATTTTATATTAATATTGAAACTACATAGCATAAAAATATCAATCATATATATGAGAAACGTCCTCATCAAACATTAAATTGAGGACGGAAAGACAGCATGCATGCCATGCAAATTAAGGGTGTCCTACCCTACCCAAGGGGCACTTGGATATTGACATTATTAACCAAATATACTATCTCACCTATCACTATTTGTTTGTTTATTTATTTTGGAGAGATTATTTCACCTATTTGCTTGGACTGAGATTTAATAAGTCTGTAAAGTTGGTTCAACCATTTAGAGGCATATTTAAGTTTTTTGTGTGTATTGTTTTTTCTCATTGCAATAAAATTTAGTTAGGTGTTTTTAATTTTGGATTTTGCAAAACAGAAGAAATTAAAGTGATGCACGTAATCTAATCACAGTTGCATATAGTTTTCGCGGCAAAAGCGCCTTTACTAAATATTGATGTGTATGTCAGAGAAATAATACTATAATACTGAGATCCTTATCTACTCTTTCTCTTATCTTTAATTTAAGATTTAATTAACTAATTTGATTAGATTAATGATATTAGTTAAATTAATTAATATGATATATTCTTTCTAAAATATCTTATGCATTTTCATTAATCCTTTCCTTCACTCTCCTACTTAATTATTGTTCAAAAAATATCAATAGATTTAATTTTAAAAAAAATTAATAAACATATGAAGTAAGTTTTTTATAGATAAAACTAACGTCAACTTCCCAATTAGATTTTTGTATATTGACTTTAGAACTTCGCTCCTTATTTTAATTTCTTTTTCAGCGTGTGCACATATAATATAATAAAAGAATGAATAATAATTCAAAAATTGATTCGTAATAAGGAAGGAATATATACATATATATATATATATATGTGTGTGTGTGTGTACACATATACAGGCTAATATATTCCCACCAGGCATGAGGAAGATGAAGGGGGTAAAGGAGCCGCAAGGCAAGGGACCACATTCCACAAATTGGGCTGTGTATGGTACCCAAGCTGATAACGACTTTACCCGAAAAACTAATTTCATCATCAATTGTTATTCTTTCATGATCTCTCATTTCCTTTTCTAGCGCCCGCCCCCACCCCCTTCCCAAGCTAATTAAGCATCCTTAGCTTGTAAGCTTCTGCTCAATAGTCAATGCTTGTTGTTGACCCTTCACAATTGAAATAATATCCCATTACTGATGTGCGAGCTGATGATATACGCACACATATACTACCTTCCTTCGTGTAAATTACAAAAGTAAAATAAATTAGTTAATTATTATCATCTTTCTGAAATATCTCTATAATATATACTCTTTCGGTCTTTAATATAAAACTTATTTAACTAATTTGATTAGATTAAGAAAATTAGGTAAGTTAGTTAATTATAAAAAAATATAATATGTTTTTCCTAAAACACCATAATAATCTTTCTTAATATTCTCCCACCCTCTTCTACTTGATTATGTCTGAGGGAGTATCCATGAGGGTAATTATGGAAAAACTGATAAATACGAGAAATATATCTTATATTTAGAACCAAAATCAATTTAATAATTAGGTCTTATATTAAGTATTGGAGGAGTATCAATTTACAAATTACCTAAATTAACTTGAACAAATTATAAATATGAGAGATAAAGTTATTGGTTATCTAAGGGCAGGGAGTACACACACACACACGAGGATAAATGAATCTTCACTTTTGTTGTGGCCGCCACAAAGAATGGAAAAGAAGATGGTGAGCATCTGATGCATATATAGACAACAACACTAGGGTTGGCTTTATGGCTCACCCTTTTTGCTGCGAAAAAAACAAGATAAAAAAGCTAGTTGCTTACCCAGCTTATCCAGTATTGTAAACCTTACCCATTAAGCATTCAATGTTTTCGGACCCATTCCCAAACCACCCCTAACCAACCAGCCTCTCCTATTTTTGATGCAAGATGTATTGTGTAATAGCCATCACCATGCATGCCTGGATGATTCACTCTCTACCACATTTGGCTACAAATAATTTATGAGTAAGTAAGAGGATATTACCTTTAAGTGCAACCAACCCTATAAGCTGTGCGTGTGTGTGTTAGAAACGCGAGGGGAGAATATAATAGGCTAAATTCCTTCCTTAGCTTCCCCCGTTAATATTAACTCCTACTTTATTGGTTTTTAGGGCCGGGACATATTTTTATCATCAATTTTGTCTTTCACTACTACAATTGATGTCCATAATAAAGTTTTACATTAGAATTAAAAGCACGTCAATCACTTGGCATGGTATAAGAGAAGGGCAAGATTGGAAAAAATATAAACATTACATTTGTCTTATATTTTCTATCGAAAAGAACTTTGATAACTTCAACTCATCCTATAATTAGAATCCAATGAAGTACTCTTTTAGCATATTGTACATTTAATGTGCCGAATTAGTGGGCTAAGCGAAGAGGGAAAGTTTGTATAAGCTCACATGCTAATTTATTTAACTCTCACGTAAACTCTTAACTTAACCAGTATTAACATCACTTGTCTATTTTGTGAAACGAACTTCATTTTCCTTCAATGCATGATACAGAGTTTGAGCATCATGAATGAGAAGATTACATTGATGAGAGAGCTACATACTCTCAATTAAACTTTTATAATATTTGAATTAATGTGATCACATAACACTAGATAATATTTTTTTCCCCAAAAAAAGGAATATCCTGCGCATCATGGTTGTTTTAAATCATAGAAAAACACGTAGCAAGTTAAATGGTACTATTTCTGGTTCTTAATATAAGAACTGGTTGATTAATTTGAGTAAGCTAAGAAAACTAGTTAAGTTAGTTATTTGTAATAAACAGGTGTTATATTTCCTAAAATATCCTTGCTAATCAAGTGTATTGGCTAGAACTATCATTATTACATAACCATCTTGATAAAAAATAGATAAATATGGGATAGAAAATGGATTAGAATAGCATATTTAGGACCAAAATAAAAATTAAACGAAATCTTATATTTAAGATCAGAAAAGTATTAAATATGTGAATACAATAATTGATATGACATGGAAGCAATCTACAGCAGCTCAAAGAGACATGCATGTGGTTTGATGATGACATGCGGATTGGTGACTATGATGATTTCGTAGAATCTGATCTAATTAATTACTTCCATTGTGCGTTTATATATTGGTTTGCAACAAATGGAATGATTTGATAGACACATGCAGTTCTTTTTCCGCTGGTTATTATCAAAAATTAAATTTCTGACTCACATATGCTGCTTGAAGCAATCATAGAGCACAACTTCTGCCTAGCTGGTACGTAGGACCCAAACCCCATAATAATCTTGTAACATACAGTTCATAGAATTTAATGTTCCAAGGCCTCTCCATTTCATCTCTAAGGAATATATATATGTCTGTACTCATAGCTAGGGTTTATTGTTTTGTACCAGCGCATTAATTTTCTCTCACTGGATCATGACGATCACCTTGAGAAAATAATTTAAATTTACATGGTTTTCGTTTGATAAGAAAAGATGAAAAACTGTTGAATGGTAGTTTTGTTTAACACGTATGTGTATTTTAATTTATTTAATACAATTGTGAAAATTAAAAGGGGTTCTTATTAGTTGGATTCGACATCCTTTAAGACCTTTTTCTTTCTTTATGGGTGCCACCTTCTTTATCTTTTGCGCAACTTTTAAAAAGAGCTCATTTGATAACAATGAGCTAAACAAATAAAATCTCCAAGCGCACAAGTGTTCCTTTGCAAGTTTATGGCACATGGCGTGTACACATAAAAAGTGAAATTTTTTCACTAAGAAAAAGGCATGTTTATTAGTTGAGCTACAGGTGGCCGGGCTATATCTCCCACCAATATTCATATGGATTATACATTTAGAAAATTGTCATATATAAGCCACCCACGTAATTTTTTAAATTTTTTACTACGAATGAGTAATATGTATTTGTTGTCATTTTTTGTACCGAAACTTGTCATTACGTACTATTAATTTGTTGTGAAACTTTTTAGTAATTAAGTTATTTATGTGGGACTGCATAGTAATACTTTCAATCCTAAATATATAAGCTAATAAGGAGATTTATTTTAGTCTTAAATGTAATATTTTAATATACTTAGTTTGTTTTCAAACTCTCCTTATTTATTATAAATATTAAAGGGGCCGGGTTTGCCACTAAGAGAGTAAGGTATTAAAAGAGATATTTTGAGAAAATCAACACACATTTCTTGTTACAAATAACTAAATTAATTAATTTTTTTTAATTTTTATATATTAATTATCAAGCTCTCACAAAACAGTAAAATATACCAGAATGAATTTTCCTATTGACCATTTGTAAACATTGCATCTTGCCATAATTTTTTCATTTCACATTAACGATGCTAATATAATATCAATGGCCTGCATAAAAATAATACGCGCGCACACATATAATATCAACGGTAAAGTATGATTATTTATTGATTTACATGTATCAATCAAAGGGTGCCCATATTCAAGTATCCCCAAAGACACTTGTTGAGGCCCATTAGGCCATGTGGCCACTAATGTTGTATTCTTTTTGGGCCTTTCTTTTTTTTCCGCGAGATAACCCGTTACATTTTTTTTGGTACAACGGAAATAAAGACAGCAAAACAATCGAACACAAAGCAAAAAGGCTTAGCCAGGTTCGAAAAGAGTTGATTCCTGGAGTTGCTCGGGTCCAAGGATTTGTAATCCATTTGTGCCCTTCAACGCCTGTTTGGCGAGAGAATCCGCAAGGCCATAGGTAGGATATGACCCTAAAAATTGCATGGAAAAAAAAAAAAAGAATATAACCCTAAAATAAGAAATCAGGCTCCTTTTTTTAATGTTTTTTTGGGCCCGGCTGGAAGTCAGGTTTTGAGATGCGTGTGGGGGTGTGAAAAGACTGGTAGATTCCAAGTTCATAATTTTAAGAGAAAATTACATTCAAATTCCACACAAGACAATTAATTCACCAAAAATTTCTTGAAATCTCAAAATAACTCTCAAATCTTCAGGGGACTGTGTGTAATAAATTGTAATTGTGAAATTACCTATTTATTCCCATTCATTTACAACCTCAATAGTGTCTATTGACAACCCGAGGAGAAGTGGTTAACAACCTCAACAGTGCCTCTGGTATAATTGTTGAGGTTGTAAATAGATTACTGCAATAAAATTAATGAGAATAAATAGGTAATTTCATAATTTCAATTTATTATACATAGGTCTTTCGGGATTTAGAAATCATTTTGGAATTTTCAGGAATTTTTATGAATAAGTTGTCTTATGTGAGACCTATGTACAATTTTTCCTAATTTTAAAGTTACTTTCAAGGATCTGGAATGAATGGTTGTTGAATGTTGATTTCCAGAGTAGCAACTGTTTGGCAGAGGGGATCGTGGGATTTATAATCCTATTCTCGTCGGACCCAAAAGAAAATTTCAAAAAAAAAAAAAAAACCATTCTTGGTATGTTGCCACGACGCTTTTGTTCCTTTGTCTTGTTTCAATCCCGTAGGTAGAAATGTAAATCACAGATCCGCCGACAAAATAGAGCTTTCACGGAAACGTCCTCAAAAGTCAAAACTCCAAAGTTAAATAGTAACATTTTTGTTCTTACTTTTTGGTAAAGAACCCGTTTTTTTTTTGGTTCGCCAGATTTCTTGGTAAAGATTTTGGTTCATATTCCTTCCACCTTTTTTGGAAAAAAAAAAATAAATCTTCTCAAATTTTTTTGACCGGGGAAATCTCAAATTTGAATAATATAAAGCCTCTGTAAAGTATAGAAAATGCATCATAAAATAAATATAAAGATTTATAAATTTTATGACTTGCTTCAAAATTTCCATATAGATATAGATAGACAAGGATTTATTTATCGTATATATTGATACAAGTTACAAAGAAAAATCAAATACTATTAATTTATTAATTTAACTTGCTCTTTTTTCCTTAATAAAAACAGCCGGCAAGAACTTGGGGAAAGTTTTAGGCACATTACTATAGGCCGTATTTGCCGAAAATATAAACTTTGGGCTCTTGCCCTGGGTTAGGACCTACCAATTGGCCCAAAAGGGAAAAAGAAAGCAGCAGCACCGATGGCCTCCAGGCGCCGTGCCGGCGCGTGGAAATAGATCCCAACCCAGTTCCCCGCCGAGCGGGCAGGTGTATTCACGCACGATGTCTCCGACTGCGAGAACTCTTCAAATTTTCGCAAACGAAAATCCCCGCCATTAAAGCTTTCCCTCCTTTAATTCGTCGGTCATTTGCACGTTCCAGACTTCTCTCCTTCCCATTGGTGCGTGCTGTGCACATGCCACATACTCGAGTGAGTCCACACCCTTCATTCTTGGTGCTGTGATACTTCCCGGGCACGACTCTAGGAAGTAACCCAAACGCTGCGTCTGGTTCATGGTTCCGCACGAAACCCACCGTTGCCGTACACCTGGTGTCTGATAAAACGATCTCCGTTTAGAGAGAGAGAGAGCGAAAGAGGAAGACGAAGAGTTCTAGAGAGAGAGTGTGTGTAGCGAAGTAGAGAGTGCAAGATCTGATTGAAACAAGGTAGCAAGCTCGAAACCCTACTGTCTATTTTGCAGCCCTAGGTGCCTCTGTTTTGGCCTGTTTCTTCCTCGCTTCGCGCCTAGGTTGGTTGTCTTCGTCTGCAAAGGTGAAAGTCGGTGTATTCGGATTTCGCTGGAGAAGAGTCTGTGGGAGCCCTAGAAATTTAGGTTTTGGGGCTTTTTTCCGTCTTTGGGTCCATAAAACTCTAGTTTTGGTTATTTGGTTGGGATTTGAAATCGGTGTTAGTGAGGCAAGTGTGAAGAGGAAGAATTAGGGTTTTGGATGTATGGCGTCGGGGCCTATAGTGGGAGGAGATGATGGAGCTAAGGTGAAGCAGAGATATAATGAGAACAAGGTGTACACGAGGAAAGCATATAAAGGACCTAAGAACAGAGCTAATGCCTTGTCCGCTGTTGTTCCCAACGCTGCCCCAGCTACGACAACTGCCAACAAAGATGACATCAACAACAACAACAGCATGGTCAAGAACGATAATGTCGTAGAGACCGAGAAGAATGAGAACAACGAGTCGGCTCAGGAACAACCCCAGACTATATTGCCCGAGGATGGAAATTCGGCTCAGCCACTACTAAATCCGAGACCGGACGCGGTTTCAGATGACTCGTCCACCTTAAAACGTCAGCAGAATGAACCTTCTAGCCTCAACTGTCAGCTGGACGAACATTCGAGCCCCCATCATCAGCAGGACGAACCTTCGAGTTCCAATCGACAGGAGGAGGCTACTCCTAGGACTCGGGAGTTGCCATCAGGAAATGGCGCTGTAAAGTCAGGATTGGATAATCGAATTAAGATAAACTTGTCCTCAAGGTCAAAGCAAGAGGTATTGGAGCTCAAGAGGAAGCTTGAAAATGAGCTTGATACAGTGAGAAGTTTGGTCAGAAAAATTGAAGTGAAACTGGGGCAGATTGGTAAGTATGGTAAGTCAAATCCTCTGGTGAGTGATAGAATTGATAATGGCATTGTGCCAAGGCGTGTTCAGTCTGAGGGCGCATCTGTTGTTCCCCAAGAATCTATCAGGCCTTCGCACCGGTTAAATTTGTCAGTGCTAGAGAATAGTCACGGAGCCAGTGAAATAGTTGAGAAGGAAAAGAGAACGCCCAAGGCAAACCAGTTATATAGGAATTCAGAGTTCTTGCTTGGGAAAGATAAATTCCCTCCTGCAGAGAGCAATAAGAAGTCAAAATTAAATGGAAAGAAGCAGGGTGGGGGAGAAATGCGACGTGGTTTTGGGATGGGATCGAAAGTTTTCAAAAGCTGTAGTTCGTTGCTTGAGAAGTTGATGAAACACAAGCATGGTTGGGTGTTTAATGCTCCTGTTGACGTTGAGGGGCTTGGATTGCAGGATTATTTTAGCATAATCTCGCATCCAATGGACCTAGGTACTGTGAAAACTAGGCTTAATAAGAATTGGTACAAATCGCCCAAGGAATTTGCAGAGGATGTGAGACTTACATTTCGCAACGCTATGAAATATAACCCACCAGGCCAAGATGTTCATGTAATGGCAGACCTGCTATCAAAGATATTTGAGGACAAATGGGCTACAATAGAATCAGATTTCAATCGTGAGATAAGATATGCACATGATTATGGGACAGCTCTTCCTTTGCCCTCACCAATGTCTAGAAATGCTACTGGATTCCTTCCACCACCTCTTGATATGAGAAGGATTTTGGATAGATCAGAATCAATGATGCAAACCCCAAAGTCAGTGCGCATTACTCCATCAAGTAGAACCCCTGCTCCAAAGAAGCCAAAGGCAAAGGATCCTTATAAAAGAGACATGACCTATGAGGAAAAGCAGAAACTTAGCACAAACCTCCAGAGTCTCCCTCCAGAGAAGTTAGATGCCATTGTACAGATCATTAAAAAAAGAAATACAGCTCTTTCTCAACATGATGATGAGATTGAAGTGGACATTGATAGTGTTGATACCGAGACTCTTTGGGAGCTTGATAGATTTGTGACCAATTACAAGAAAAGTTTGAGCAAGAACAAGAGGAAGGCTGAACTTGCTATTCAAAGGGCAGAATCTGCAAAGAATGCCCCACAAAAGGTATAGTTTGAGTTCTGACTTGTATTTGTTGGCCTTTTTTGTTACTGATTTCTTATGATTTCTGACTGCAAGTTTATAATTTTTTGCGCGTCCAGGCATCTGATACAGTTGAGGTTCCAAAAGAAAATTTAGCAGGTAGTCTATATCTATAGTTAAGCCAAACTTGTGGTGTTTAAACTATTGTTTATTTCAACTAATTAATAATTAATTGATTGGGACATGTATTTTGTGAGCAGATGAAAGGAATGTACCCCCATCATTGCCTGCGCGAGGGTATAAACCACTGGACAATGGTAGTAGGTCAAGTAGTTCTAGCAGCTCAAGCAGTGATTCAGGCTCCTCTTCAACTGGTACTTGAATTTTTAGTCTGAATAACATACCTCTAACTTTTAATATATGCAGTTCTCGTTTCTATCTTTCTCACTGTTATGTCATTTTGCAGATTCTGATACTGAAAGCTCCTCAGCATCCGGATCTGATGCAGGATCACAAGGAACTTGAATATATTCTCTCAGGTACGATCATAGCCATTGAATTCCCTGCTTTGGATATGCTCTGTTTTTATATTCTATATTATCTGCATCTATTCATTTCCCTTTACGTATGCTCTTAAATCAAGGAGAGGAGTACGAGTGTCTATGGTTTTGGAGCTAAATTTTCTCTCAAGTATGAGTCATGTTTGAGTTGCATGTAATTTAGTAGTTGCTGCTTGATCGTGAGTTGTATGACTTATTTCATTCTTGGCGCACTTGATATTTATATTTACAAGTCGCTGGTTCTGGTCGTAAATGAACTAGGCTTAACTTTAGCTTCTTTGTATGTCCGAAGTTTTCCTCACCATATTTTAACATTATTATTTTTACCTTTCCCCCCCCCCCTTTTAGCTTTGCAATTGCAATTTGAATTTTGAGATTGCATGGTGAGTAGAAGAAATGAGGTTCAGATTCAATAGTGTTTGATACAGCATTTTATTCAATGCTGCAAAAATAAGCTGGTTTAGGTGCACGATATGTGCTGTATACTCTCTTGTTTTGCTGTAAATAATTTTCATGTGATGTCGATTAATCTAGAGGGTGAGAATGATGCCATACATATAGATGCTTCTTTCGGGCATGTTATGGCATTGTCCATGCATGTGTCTGATTGAGTGACGCATTTTTTATACCTAAAATTAGAGGCTACAGGCAGTTTCCATATTGTAAAATATGCCCATATTTTTTATACCTGTAAAATATGCCCTGTTAAAACATTTGCTTGAAGATTTTTTTTTTTATGCTTGAGGATTTATGTGCTTTTATTTTCCTTAAATTAAAGTTCTATTTAGTGGCTCCAATTTGCTGTTTATATAGGAGCCATTACAAAGTGTACATCCAATGCATCTTCAGCATTGCGGCATTGTGTTGGGTGGCATAGCTCTATTTGACCCGGAAGTTTTGTCAAATGGTTTCAGTTTAATGTGGAAACTGCCCATTGTGCTTTTAATATGCTTTCTATGTACTCTGAAGTTTGACAGATGGTTGTCACGCTAATGAACGTTCACAAGTCTGCATATATCTGTGCTGCATTTTGTCGTTGACCTTCAATGCCCCTCCCCGGGGGGGAGGAAAAAGAAAGGTTAAAGGTGCAATTGTACCCTTGAACTTATTTCTCAGCACCCAGCATTCTGATCTTTGCAGCGGTGCAATTTTACCCACAATCATATTTTTATGTGCGCAATTTTGCTCACAATCTTTTTTTTTTCTCTTTGTGCAATTTTACCCATGATGTTATTTCTCACACCTAAGAAATAACGTCAGGGTTAAAAGTGCACCTTTACTCAAAAAGAAATACTGCCTTTTGAAATGCCTTACCTCATTCAAAATATGCTGGTTCAATTTTCTCATTACCTCGGCTTTTAAGCAAGTCCCTGAGTAATTATTAGCATTTGGATGAATGTTACCCGATATAATCTTTGCCTGGAATAACCCATAAACACATCCAAATGCACCTATATCAAATTCACTGACTGACTATGAAGAATATGAGATGAACAAATTACAAGCTATAATAACCGATATTCTAACCTTTTATTTTCATTTCTTGTGGCAGTTCTCTGGTATTTAGAGTTAGATAATGATGAGATGCTTTGCCTAATTGGTGGTCTGAAGCCAAAGCTTCCATGTTACGGCTCTAAATTTTACAGCTGATGTATAGAGGAAGCATTCTCGAGGTCAACAGTGATCCTACCAATGCAGTATGGGATCTTTTTCTTGCTATTTGTTGGAACTCTTGCATCTAGCTACTCGTGGCCTTATTTGTCCTGACACAAACTTTGTATAATCTTTAGTTGAATTAGTTGAATGTTGTCGATATTAGGTAGACATAAGATGATTTTTCCTAGCATGTGCGCATTGCTAACTGCTGCTTCTCATTAAGTTCTGCTAGTGACTCGTTCTTTTGTTTTTTGCTTTTGTAGTGGCAGATTCAGGATTCTTGGTGTTGTACAAAGATATGTAATTCCAAGTGCTTGGAGCCATTAATGGTTCACATGAAATCTCATTCCATATGGTAGCCTGAGTTTGGCATTGGGCTGGTTAGAGTAACATTAGAGAGATATTATTACTTTGTTTTTACAATTAAGGAAGGTGAGTTTAATTCTCTGGTTTTGTGCAAAAGGTTTTGGAAGGTGAGCAATTCAGCAGTTAGTGAGAAGTAATAATCTTTCCTGCCTATCAGGTGGCTGAGACGATGACAGTTGTACAGTTAATGTGTTCAAGCTTACTTAGGGCCCATAGTGATGAAATAAGATTCATGAACTCTTTCCATCGAAGTGGTAAATGCTGCAGACGAAGGGCTGGTCAAGTTTTCAAAATGTTTCTTACCTCTTTTCCATGGCCAAGCCGAAGTGCTAGACGTATGCCAAAAAAAAAGGGTGATATGCATGGCGAACTGACGAAGTTTGTATTTCGCGTTTACCATCCTTGGACGATTGTTGCGTTCCAGATTTAGTAACGCGTTTTGAGGTTTCTTTGTTCTCTTTAAATTTCTGAATACAAAATAATTCAGTCGCCCAAATTTGACCTGCAGCGAAAGCTGTGGCGAGGAAATTCCGCAGGAAACTGGTCATGTGAGAAGAATTTAGTTCTTTTTCGGAGTATTTTCACTGTATGTATGGTGATCTTTCTTGATGGAATGAATTGCAATCTGGGGCAGTTGGTAAATAGAAACAATTCACTTCTAGCTTTGATGGTATTTTAGTCCTTTACTGAAAGATTCCGGTCTTAACCTGACCTCTTAAAAAAAGCGAAAAGCAAAATAATAAGAGGTAAAGAGCACGCGTTTGACCATGGCTATAACATGGAATAGGAGCATGAAATAGGCATCCGTGGACCGTGGGGCATTATAAATTCATTCAAATATGTATTGAGTAATCTTCAGCACATTTCAAGTCTCTTGGCTGTCTTGCTGGTCTCTGAATCCGATAGCCAGACTTCCCCCTAAATCATTTTTGGTGGTAGTTAGTCCGCAACTTTGAATGAGAGAAACGTATGAGTGCTAGCATATAAACAGGTCGTTATTCTAAACAAGGCTAACCAGCTGCTTGAAAGTCGCCAAAGTCGTCATCATCTGGTACGTCCACTGCAATTTGATTTTTCGGAGAACCCTGGCAATCCTGGTCTTCACTGATTGTTGGAGTGGTCTTTTCCACGCAAGTATTTTCAAGACTCAAACTTCTTGGTGAGTTCGTTGGAGACTTCAGTATTGTAGAAACAGATGAAAGCGGTGATGGAGGAGGTGGGGGTAACTTATTATTATGTCCAGGTACTTTTCCATCGCCCTTTTCTTCTGAGTTGCTGTTCAAGCCCTGCTCAAAAACTTTGAACTTCATACTGCCGCCACTTGTCTGTTGATATACTTATTATCAGCCCATGCTGAAGAACGAACGGTCACATTTAAACACGTATAGATATAAAATTCCAGAGTTTCATATATTGTTCTATACCCTGCGCAAGGAACTTTTGAGACTCATTGTTAAACACTGTTAATTCATTCATAAACAAGAAATGATTTCAGAATATTGAAGCATCTTTCAGGAAATTTCCTTTCCATTTGATGTCTTATTTTCACATTACACAACTCCAGCCTCGTGGAAAGTAGATTTCAGAAATGTCACAATCCAAAAGGGGCTGAAAACGAGAGGCATAGCAAAATACAGATGCTCACCTATGTTCTCTTTTATGCGAAGAACAAAATATCTGCACAACAAAAGTATGACTACTTAGGGATCATTGGGAATAAAGTGACAAACTGGGGAGTAGAAAGTCATCAATAGTCTCACAAAACCACCTGCTGCTGTCAATAACTGGTTCCACAGGATGTGCCTCTCCATGTCTTAAGAAAGCCCGAGCAAACAATTCACCTAGTTAAATATTTTACTTATTTCAGTTTTTTTTTTCACAAAAGAGTAACATGTATGATCTGATTAGAGAAGCTCTAATGTTATCTTGCCTGCTTTCTTATCTTCAAGCTTTATTATGCATTCCTGTCCCTTGCTAATAACTTTCAATACTCCATCACATGCCCATTTGTTGACATCCCATTCATCAGCTCTAAAACAAACTCCACGAGAGTAAATGTTGACTAATTACAAGCATAGCAGTTAATAATCAGAGAGTTTATCTGAGAGTAGGATATCAATATCAGAGAAGACATTTTCTTAATTGACTTTGAGACAAAACTTTAAAAACAAGTGCTAGTAAACTGGAAATTTCGGGTCTTGCAAGCAAGAAGTAGAAACTTGTTCAAGATTCACTAAACATATCATACGCATATTAGACAAGGAGTAGCAATTTGAAGTTGATCAGAGATCTGTAAGAACCTGCACTTTTCCTGGCGGGTATCTGCACAAATAGTGGGATACATTAGCTTGACCCCTGAATTTCTGAATTCCAGTTAGTCATTCTTTTCATTAAGTGACAGTATTCGAAGATAAAAAAATCAAAAGTCAAACCTGATCCTTTTAAGTTCGAACTCTCCTGTTAAAGCAAATTAACCCTTCGTCAGTCTATGGCAATCCTCTGCCCAAACCAATTGCTGGGGAAATAAACAGATATACACTAAAGCCCAAATTATAAAATCGATATACGCTAAAGCCCAAATTATAAAATCAATAAACTTCCAACATACGCTCAATCTTTTACCATATAAACATAGCATTCAGAAACTTGAAAAAGAACGAGTTCTAACGCCTCAGCTTGTTGGGCTTTGTCCACGCTTTCTTGAACGTCGGCTTTCTTGTCCTCCGTGTGCATTGCAACTTCGATGCCAGAAAAATGAAGAAGAGCGGAGCAGAAGCGATCAGGAACTGTACTATACGTGGATGGAAAGAAGAAGAAGTTGACAAGGCAATCGAACAATGGAGAATTTTCGGGCTCGCAATGTCAGAGAGACGGTGAACACAGGGCAAGAGATGGGAAGGGCTGTCTCGTTTTCCTTCTCAGCGAAGAATGCCAAACACGCAGACGTAAAAGCTTCGAATCCAGTTCTGTTATGTATTAGAGCGATAAGAACCGAAGGATTGGAACAGTGTCAGACTGTCAGGATCCAAGGGTCCCAAATAGAGGACACGACGGGTTGTGGGAGCATGGGATCTAGTCTAGGGTTGTTGGATCGGAATAGGAGGTGTTTTAATAATTATAATTAATTTTAGTCAATTTTATTTTTAATTTAGAAAATGCTGAGAACTATATTGGAATATTTTCAATAGAAAATTTGGATTTTTTCCCTCTGTTTTGGAGCTGAGAATGACACATCCGGGATGACAAGGCTAGCATTACAACTGGAAAAAAAAAATAGTTGTAATTTTTTATAATTCGTATAATTATATACATATCTTACAAAATTCAATAATATAATACTCCTTCGGTCCTTAATATAATACCCATTTAACTAATTTGATTAAATTAAGGAAGTTAGGTAAGTTAGTTAATTATAAGAAACGTGACACATTTTTCCTAAAACATCATAATCATCTTTTTTTAATACCCCCTCTTCCTCTTCTATTTGATTATGATTGAGGGAGTGTCTATAGGGGTAATTTAGAAAAAATTGATAAATATGATAAATGGGTTTTATATTTACAACCAAAACCAACTCAATAATTGAATCCTATATTAAGGACTGGAGGAGTACTAGTTAGGTCGTGAAAATTATGTACGTCTACTTCAATTGCATTACAAAAATCTGAGAAAACTAATCTTCTAGTCCTTGTAACTTGTTTCAGTTTTGAAGGAGGTTCTTGAACTTTTTTTTTTCCCATGAGATCCTTTAAATAAATACATTTATTAGCCCTTCTGTCAAAAATTTCCATTAGGTGGACATTACTGTCCAGTTGACGCTACTTCCCCCACCCCCCTCCAAACCCATCCAAATCCCACCAAATCTCAATCTCGTTTTCCCTATAAATTAATTCCCACACTTCTCTAAATATACTACTGGGTAATTAAGTTAGGTAGAGTACAATGCACCTATAACTATCAACTACCCAAAAAAAAAAAAAAAAAGGTTCAGTGGAACTTACATAGATATGTTCATCTGTTCATTTATAATTAGCCAAGTCTTTCTATCCTCCTAATTTTTCCCCCCTTAAATTTTCAATAGGGAACCGTTGCAGTTGCAGTCATGTGCCTTGGGTCTGTAAGAATGGATTGTATGTTGACAAAACCAGCTTGCCTCAGAGTAGCTTCCATATCAGTCAAGTAGTACTCATCAATGAACGGTTCTGTGCTCTTCAACAATGTAAATAGCACAGGGGGCAGTTCCTACAACACCAATGCCAACAACTTTGATCATGTTTCTCTAAGCTGTTCAAATAATTCTGTCACACTCAATAACAGACAGCTTAAGAAAGTGACTCTGAGTTATGTCCATTTAAAAAAGGAACATCTCTGAAGCTTATATCAACATATTACATAACATTAATTTGTGATCCCTTGAATATCTTCAACAGTTAGCATCAAATTTTAAAACTAACATCCTGCATTCAGAAAATTTCCCAGAGAAATAAGGTTACCAACACGATATGGAAGATCACCAAGGAGTTTGTGATGCTATTAGGGTCACAGAAGTTTTCAAAATGTGGATGGACATGTTGGTTGATTGTACTTATAATAAAAACTTAAGACATTTAGGTTGGAGGCTCATCATTGGTACATGATGATCGAAATAGCAGAAAAGGCAAATCCATACCTGAAGAATCTTCGATTTTGGCTGCAGAAACATCAACAATAATATGAGTGCTTATGATAACATACTCTATTATGGTAATTTAAAATAAGAAAGAAAGAAAAGAAAAGAAAAAGGTAAGAATTACATACCGAATTATCTGTCAAAGCTATGGTGCCCCCAGGTCGAAGAAGACGGAATGCTTCCTTTATCATGTTTACTATAGCTCTTTCAGGACATTCGTGAAGCTGCATAAAGTTAGTACTCAAGGAATCAAAATCCAGTCCATAAATATCACTGAATGAATGCTTGAACTTGTGAGATTCAAGAAAGGCAGAGCTTGTGGCACATGAATATTCAGGATCCATGAGCCACAAGGTCCTTAATTGCATCCGTCACTCTTAAATTTCCAAGTATCTCATCGTTGGAAGTTTTGGTTAACTAGGATAGCATAACATGCATATTGAAAATAAAAATAATCTCCAAAGCCTTTTTAGGGAAATACCAAACGGGAAGATGAGGCATACCACAAAAGAAATGGAAACAAGGTCAAAAGACTTGGAAGGCAAGCCTGTGTTTTCTCCATTTGCATGTATCCAGCTAATGGGATGTTTACGTGGTGCTCTATTCTTTTCTTTGAGTTGAGCTACAGCAAGAAAATAAGGTGACAGATCTAGACCCTGGACCAAACATATCAGTCAAAGTCAATAGCAATTTCCAAGTATAAGGCTTCTTTTATTCAGGTGTACTGAGAAAGGAAATTTATCCACTTAAGGCTCACTCACGGTGACTTTGGCATTGGGAAACTTGGCAGCAAGATGTCTTGTGCTTTCACCAACGGAGCATCCAATATCTAGAATGTCATTGATCATGGATGTTTTTGTATACTTAAGATGATGTTGTTCGATTGCTTGAAGCCAGTTGCCACGAAGTATCTGATTTGCTTCATCTACTGAAGAAGCGTCTGGAATTGCTCGTCTCACCATTGACAAAGTAGCAGCCTCTGCTTCAGCTGCTGCCTATCATATAACATAATCTAATTATGATTTCTCTCTGAAGCATATAATATAAAGAAAAAAATATAATGTTTAGAAAGCCACAACACTTTCAATGTGCTAGCATGGAGTATAACTGGCTGCCTTCTTTCATTATGTCTGTGATTCTAATTGGCTTCTTTTTCTTAATCAGTGATTGGAAGTTCAATTTTTTCTCCTCTAAATTTAGTAATTACCCTGAAGCTGGAGAAATTCTAGAAACTTAAAGAGTTCTTTGACATGCTTCTAGCTGTTAGCAATTTTTCGGTCAATAAGCATTACAGACCTTGTTATGCATCAGAATGTTAAGCAGTACATTTACGAGACTAAGGTACATTGCCCCATATAACAAATAATAGGATCTTTTAATGGTGTTCAGCCTTGTCTATATTCGAAAAAATAGTTTAAAACAAACAGCATCTGGTTTCAATATCCCCAAAATATAGAAGTTGAACTAGGGAAAGCAAGATATACAGAATGTAGAGAATACATAACAAAGAAGAACATGCTAATGTTGATTTAGTCACATTCACAAAGAGGAGTCGTCATGAAATGAAGTGATTGAGTTTCTATAGAATATGTAAAAGTTTAAAGAAGTCTCTTACCAGCCATGTGAGATTGCCCTCGTCATATCCATGGAATGGATTCAAGTAATCTGTACAGTCGGGTGGGCAAATTAATGATAACGTAAGACATTAACAAGTAAGTAATGACTATAGTATGGGCGACCATGGGAACCATTTACCAGGAGTAAAAAGTTCGTATTGAGGTATGAAAGAAAAATGGGAACATATTTACACTCTGAAAAAAAGAACATTCAAAAGTGAAAATGTTGTGGTCAAATATGTATTTCAAAATACAGAAGAGCCATGCCACAATAGAACTTGAAACTGACAGCAGAGGTAAATCTTTCTTCCCAACTTATAATGTGAGGAGTATTTCAGAATATGATCGAGTACACGGTGCGTCTACTAAACTAACAATGCGGCATTAATATAACTATTTCAATTCGAAACAAAAAACCAGTGACAGAAACAAGTTACTGAAACTCAAATCCAAAGGTTTCTGCATACCCCATGAGAAGCATAAGAAGCCTAAGGCGTAATACACGTTTCAATTTAAAAGAGGCATTTCTTCCTATAGCAGAAACATTTTCATAGATCGCTTTCCTCTTATATCAAAAATCATGTGGCTATGATGCTTCTCAGAAGAAAGAGTAGCAGAACGATTCAAGCATAATACAAACAGCATATTCATTTACAAATTTTCCTGTATTCAATTATTTGAGCAAACATATAACAATGCAAAGGAAAGTAGAAAGGTGGATTCTGAAAAATCAATGAAGAAATTTACAATCAGGGTATTCTAGGGAATGGTCTCGAATGCTTTCCAGCTCCTTATACGCGTCTGACTCTAAAATCTCTTTCGCCATTTCCCTCCAAGGTATGTTGTTCTTCTCAGCTGTGCTGTGCCCAACACATCCAAAAATCACTTCCATTGAATTAAGAACACGTTTGGCAAACGACCAACTCAAAAACACAAAAAATCATAGACGTTTCAAGGATTTCCTTATTTGATGAAACTATCAGATACAAATACGAGCCATAGACAGAACGTTTTCACATAATGTAACAGGCCATACATTAGCATCCAAGGTAACTACTAGTTTCAAGGAATCTTTCAGAACATGATCAAGTGCATGGCGCGCCTCTACACTTCTGTTCAAGATATATGGCAGGAACACGTAACCGAGTTTCAAATCCAAATGATCCCACAAGCAGTATGAGAAATTTAAGTTCAAACGCATATAATTCTATTTACAAGGGACATACTTTTTTCGCAAAAACCTGTTGACAACCAAGATGTTTTAATATAATGCAACACACCATACTTAAGAATCCAAGAATCAGGTAGTTTACATATCACAGTCAAATCAAAATATCAGACGCCCCGCAAACATAAACCAGTGGGAAGAGAAATTGACCTTATGAGGACCTGCCTCGCGCCGAGCTTGAGGATAGAGTAGAGGGGCTTGAAGGAAATAAGAGCCACGACGAGACGAGAAATAGGAGTGTGTCCAGTCCACTTGGGTCGCACCAGCCGTCCTTCTTCAAAAGTACCGATTGATGTGTCCGACGTCGCCATGTGAACCACCAAAGAAGGTCGTCTTCTGGTTCTTGAGGTGGTATTGCTAATCCCATTGGCGACAGAGGTAACAGAGAGATTCTGGAGAGATGGCGACAGAGCCATTGTGTTCTGTGGGTGGGAGAGAAGAAGGACAAGCTCCGACGATGGAGCCACTGCTGAGGGCCTGAGGCATGAGATAACGGCTACACTAACTGTAATGGCCCGCCAGATTTCCCCCCTATAGTAACACGCCATGTGGAACTATAAAGAAACACGATATCATCTTCCGTTTTTCGCCAAAAATAAAATCATTTGTAATTATGTTTTTATGTATATGTATATTTAATAATTTTAGAAAATATAGTTTATCAAAAAGGAAAATCTAATTTATTAAAGGGAAAATAATAAAATTGAGAAAATAAATATTGAAAAATAGACGGTGCAATGAGTAGGTTTGAAAAATTAAGAGAGAGTTTTGAGTGGGGGGGGGGAGCAAAGCAGACGAGCACGCAGCCAGTAGAAATGAGTAAAAATATTCTTCAAAAGTCAATGCCTTACTATGTAGTCATATAATATATGAACATAAACTTTATATATATATATATAGTCTGGTCCTTAATATAAAACATATTCAACTAATTTGATTAAATTAAGAAAGTTAAGTAAGTTAGTTAATTATAAAAAATATAACACATTTTTCCTAAAATACTATAATCATCTTTCTTAATATCCTCTCTCTCTTTTACTTGATTATGGTTGAAAAAATTGATAAATATAAGAAATAGATCTTATAGTTAGGATCAAAATCAATTCAATAATTAAGTCTTATATTAAAAACTGAAAAAGTGTGTGTGTGTAAAGAATCTTGCAGTTATGTGCCTTTTGTCAAAACAACAAAAATATTGTAAGATTATTTTCAGTCAAAAAAGCTTTTAAAATGATATCATCACTCATCCACTCATCATTTCAGGAAAGTGCAGTTTCCCAGAATCAATAAAATTAAAAATTGTAATATGATTTTCTTTGTTGGAAGTTCCTTGAACTAGAGAATGATTAACTTGATCTCTGACCCCCAAGCTTTAATTCTAGTTTAGAGCAAGGAAGGTTGAATCACCAACTGGCATCATTAATTGTTTAATATAAATATATCAAGAAAAAGGCCGAATGCCCTTTAAAACTTTAAAAGACTTGAAAACAACATAATTTACACCAGTTCTCATTCTAGGAAAGGGTATGTGTGATGAGTTTCGAGGAAGGCCTCAAACTGGAGTAACTGGAGTAACTTGAAGTTAGGTTTCTTCCTTGGGCACAGATCTCTGTTTTTTGTGTTCTGTGTTTCAAACCATACAAAGCTAGAATTTAGAAAGAATATTACTTTTTGTCTGTCTTTCTCTGCATCCATATGCTGATGTGATTTTCTATAATTGTCAAATTATCTCTAAAAGGTATCATAAGAAAAAGTTCTAAATGCAAGTTTAACCCAGATAAAATGCCTATTATATTTTCACGTGATCATGTTACAAGTTTACCTCGTTCATGGTAAATGAAACAAGTGCTGTATTTCAAATCCTCAGATACATTATTTCAAGAACTGGTGTTCACAAGAAATCTCCCAAAGGTGATGAACTGAATATAGAAAGTCTCCTTCTCTTTCTGGTTCTAAAGAGATCTTCTGAAGAAGAGAATCTATCAAGTACAGACCTAATAGCTTGATGAACAGAGACGGCAAGAAGCTGACGATATGCAGTATCTTCAATGTTGTGCTCTCTACAGCTAATTATAACAAACACATTCTTCATCCTCCCTCCCAAGGTTGCAATTTCTGCCATCATTATCTTAAGATGAAGGGCATCAAGTGCTTGTCTTAGTTCAGGCAACAACCCTGGTTTATATTCACAACATAGCGATACTTTGATTGAATAAGGGAGGCCATTTGAACCATCCTCCTGTTCTTCAACTCTTATTTCATCGCTGTCCTTTGGTATCATCAAACCCTCACATGCTTGTGCTGCATTCCTTTTCAGCTCTTTCAAATGTCTGATAACCTCGCCAAGTAATGACGCTTTGTCCATCTACAAGGTCAAAGGGAGAAAAGGACAGTTTCAGATTTTCAAACCATGACATGAGTGATTCAACATTGGTACTGCATCTCAGTTTTATAATCGAAAGCATAAGCTTAACCAGATTGGGCGCTTGATATCAGCCTCTGCTCAACCCTTAGAGAAGTAAGTTTTAAATTATGTTTATGAACATCAAGACGCAAATACAATGCAAGAAACTCAAAACCGTACCATATGGATATAATTCATATGCTGGTCCTCAAAGTCAGGATGTTTAATATCCAAGTATGGGAAGACGATTTTGATCGTATTATTGAATGCTCTATGAGGTTTAATATTCCCGTGCTTGGTTTCTTGGTCCCTTGTAAGGACCTAATCTCATACACTAATATATTAGCCCAGTTGATTGTGCATGGCGGGTTCAAAATCAATGAGCCTAGCTGTGAGGTCTATATTTTGGTGGGTTGACTGGTTTGCAAACATGGTTGATAATAGTTGGCAGATCTTATACAAAGAAAATAGGTGATTTGAGATGGGTTCTGCCGGGATTTGATGATGGCCATTGCTGTGTTAGTGGTCGTGTTTTCTGATCCTCTCCCTATGGTTGAAGCTGTTTGGCAAGAGTCTTTATGCCCAGCACAGGATTGTTGAACCATTGTGGATAACTTTGTTAATCACTAAGCAGTTATTGCTTTAAGTGGATCCAAAGAACTCAGATGCCCCCAACCCTCTTTCTCCCTTTCTGGATGCAGGATTTTAGCTTTCTGTTTTATTTCCACGGCTATGCTACTTATGGTTTTGGTTTTTGTGTTTTTTACGTGCTTTGTACTGATGACTCTGATTACGCTTTTCCGATAGTATAATCTTTGTCGGGGTAAAAAATCCAAGCAAAATGATTTCCATTGTTGAAGCACCCAACGAATATTTCCATACAATTCAACACATAGTTGGGGCAAAAAGAGAATGATATCCAAATTCGATTGTTTTAAAAGCGGAGAGCCTCAGTGCAGATGTATGCGTAAATGACTTATGCAGATCCATCAAACGATGAATTATCAAGCTACGCTTCACTGCAATAGTTAATACGAAAGAGGAAAATAAATAATAAATCGTCATACAACCTTGAGCTACCAAATATGTGATTCAAACAAATGATTTTTCTGTTGGAGTAATGAAATGGAACAACCAAATTTCAGGGCACAATTATCGGCCTAGTTCAGATGTATATTTCATAGAAGCAGAAAGCATAAGACGGGGGAGATTCAACGAGAAAGAAATCTCCCATATATCATGTTTAGTTCCTCCGAACACCATAAACTAAAGCCAGGGTAGCAACACAAGAAAGTAAGATGAAACAAACCTTCTTAGCACCCGGAACTACACTCCTAAGCGTGTCAAGATGTGCATTAATCCTTGCCCTCCTCCTCCTCTCTGCTTCGCTATGGTTCTTCAAACTTTCAACACTTCTCTCATTGGACCCACTCTTGCGCTCCAGTTTGGCTGGAGCAGCCACAAGCTCTCCCTTGTCCCTGTCCAACACCAGAGATGAAGATGAAACAAACCCTCCACCTATTTCCGCATAGTTATCCAGAAAACCATCAGGACTTGCCTCTGAGGCATTTCCCCGAACACCAGAACTCCAACAAATTGCTTCCATGGCCAAATTACGAGGTGAGGGGGTGACAAAAGGGTAGTGAGGCAGTTTCAGAAAACAAGAGGACCAGAGAGGACAAGACTTTGTGGGGACGGGACCCAGAGAAGAACAACGTTGGAAGGCGTAGCTTGAGTTGGATTGTAGTAGGCAAGGCTGTTGTGGTGGTCACTGTAATTTCCATGAGCGAAACAAGGCAAAGCCTGATTCTTTGCGAGAACTTAATGGAGGAACTGAAAAGCGAGGTGGTTTGTCATGTTGGGTTTGGATTGAACCGAGTTTTGGAATGAAAGGTGAAGAGTAGTCAAAGTGGAGAATCAGAAGGAGTCAGTGAATGCTAGTGAGGCAGGGAGACAGAGAGAGAAGGAGAAGATCGCATGAGAGGAAGAGTACGTTCTCTGTTTAGGTGGGGGACTCCGTTTTAAACTTAAAATGCCATTGCCATGCCTTCTCATCAAACTTATTTCAATTAAAAAAAGGTCATTAATTTTTTTTTTTTTAAAAAAATGGAAGTTGCACGCTTCACTATTCACAAATTGCATGACTCTGCTATGAATAAACATGAGCAAGGGAAGAGTGCTAATTATAATTTATATGGTAGTTTACATATTGGGTGTTGTTAAGTTATAATTTGTGAAGTTGATATCAATATATTTATAAGTTGGAGATGCGGCTTACCTCAAGCCCACTTTAATTTAATATAAGCATATAATAAGAGTTAGTTAGCGAGTTAAATTTGGTTTTGAATATGAGATATCAATTTACTTTGTATTTTATAGTTATCAAATAGTTCTTATGTTAATAATCGCAAAGAGAGAATACCGTTCAAATAGTATCATCTCATCTTATACTACCCCAGCTTTTTAATATAAAAGTTAGATAATTAATTTGTAAATATTAAAAAGTTAGTTAATTGTAATAAACGATGCTATTGTAATAAACGAGTGTTATCTTCTTAAAATATATTTGTTAACCGTATGCATTAGAATAAAAATCTTTTAACATATGCAAACATCATGAAACTATTTTGATTTTATATTTAGAACCAAATTGAATATCAAACTTTAACTAGTTCTTATATTGAAAATAAAAAAGTAGTACTACCTCTGTTCTTAATATAAGACCTTGTTTATTTTTATTTTGGCCCTAAATATAAGATCCCAATCTACTTTATCTCTAATATTTATGCATTTTTTCTAAAATAATCCTTTTAACAATGATAGTTCTAGCCAATACAATTGATTAGCAAAGATATTTTAGAAAAGACAACACCTATTTATTACAAATAACTAGTATAATTTCTTTTCTCAATCTCCTCAAATTATTCGACAAGTTCTTATAATCAGGAGTACTATTTATTGTGAGATTCCTATATATTCTAAAATGAGAATCATCCCATACAAGATTCCTGTTTATACGTTGTGATATGAAATCCCTCAGGTTGTTCCTCATAATTTAGGTTTAGGATTGTATTTTTTGCTTCCTTAGCCTATTTTTTAGACCAGATCATGCCGTGACTTTAGGGCCTTCCACACGTTTTCCTTAATTGTTAAACAAAACACAGATTTTGAGATGCCAAAAATGTCCCATTCACCTGAAAAAAAAGAAAGTAAACATTATTATTTTTGGAATTGACATAAGTTATTCATAGTCTCTGTTTTCACCTAAAATTGTCGTATTTTTGTAGTATTCAAATTGAACTCCATTATTATTAATTACCTAGTCTCCATAGTCTCTGTTTTCACCCGTTTAATTTAATAAGTGGCATTATTATTTTTAAAATAGGCCGCTCTTAGTTACTTCGCGCAAATTCATTAAACAGAAAAAAAGAAATTAAAAGCTGTCAGAATTGGACCATTATATTTGTCAACAAAGTTATAGTAATATTATTTTTAATTCCTGACATATAAAAATTATTTAACTAACTTAGATAAATTAAAAAACAAATAAATTGGTTAATTATAATAAATATAATATATCTGTTTATAAGTTAGATAAATTAGCTTGAGAAAAAAATAATAAATATGAAAGATTAAAAGAATAAAAATACGATCAACAAGTAAAACAAAAAATAAAAAAAAAAGTATTAAAAAAATTGCATGATTCACAAATTATAAACAAACAAGTTATACATTGAGATTTGAGCATAGTACAAGCACACGTCTAATTTACTAATAAGTAGTATTTTTTTTTAAAAAAAAAATCCATTTGCACACGTCAAATGGAAGGTCAGGGGAAGAATCTGAATGAAACAATGATAAATCATGGAAAAAAAATCAGTTGTTAGTAGGATTTAATAATAAAGCATGATGTGAAAATGAGATTTGTTAATAAGTAGAAATTGCGTGTGCGTCTCTTGGGCGTGTGGAAACGCCCGCAATACTTGAATCTTTGTTTGAGAATGGAGATTCATTGGTGGACGTTTCCTCATTAAGCAATTCCTAGCTTTTAAGTTAGGCAAAAGCCACTAACCACTTCTTCGTCTTTTTTAATTTCCTTAACTTAATGATTAATTGATGTGCTAATCACATTTGTTTGACATTAATCTTGTGAGTATGACATTAATCCATGAGCCGCGTCACTGACAACGACACAAATCGATTGTTTAATTTCCATAGTGGCCTCCACCAGCGTCTCATTCACTGAGCCTTTGTGGAAAGCGAAGCTTTTAGGTCACTGACTCGACTCAGAATCACCATAATCCTCCATTGTTACAATCTCTAACGTAAATGAAATTTATTTTTATACTCTTTGAATGAGGTTGTTAATTTATAGTTAATGAATAACAAAGTTTAAGAATTATTCTTTTTTTTTTTGCTAAAGCATAAGTATCCTTCTTTTATTGGAGGCAATCCTATTCGAGGTACTGTTGGGTACTAAATGTGGATATCTCTCTCAGAGAAGATTCGAATCTTGGTTCGCCACGTTGTGAGGGACTAGCTCATTCCGCTAAACCTAACCCCTGTTGGTTTAAGAATTATTCTTTTACTCTTATGATCTTTCATTAAGAGTCGACCAATTGAAGTAAACTACTTGCAAAGAGTTATTAACATAAATGTTGATTAGTAGGAGGCTGAGTAAAGCGTGAGTGAAGTACTTTAACGTTGAATCAATTTTGCAACGCCAACCGCTAGCTTTTAAAATATGATCCTCCAAATACTTGTGATGAGTGGAACTCAAATTTGATACAATAATACTATTTCCGGTTCTTAATATAAGAGTTAGATAATTAGGATGTAATTAAATATCTAATTAGTTTTTTTATTTAGAACCGGAGGTAGGAGTATTTAAGGTAAAACAATCACAAGTCATAAATGAATCACGAATCAGTTTGTAACGAAAGAGAATAAACAGTTTAGAATTTGGATTAATGAGTAGAAATTTCGTCTGGCTTTGTGGGCCAGATTAGATATTGATGGGAGAATGAGGACCGAGTCACTTACCGAGCGGGGAAAAAAAAAGGGCCCAAACAAGTCTGAAACAGCCAGAAGCCCACTAGGCCCAAAGCGTGCTAATAGGCTACCCCATTCTTAAATGACTTTCTTCCTCTCTTTTTTTAATACCTTGTTCTTCCGTTTGATTTCTTCAATTTGTTGTTTGTGTTCTTCAAAATTATATCACATGTTAATTCAAGAGCTACTAATTAACCATATAAGACGTTTTTTTCAATCAAAAAATACTCTTTTTAGTTATAAATGTAAATGCTATAACTAATTTATATAAAAAAAACTGATTGAATTAGTTATTTATAAAAAAAAATACATATTAATTTTTCTAAAGTACTTATCTTAATTATTTAAGAAATTTCCCTCTTGATGAAAAACTTTCTTAGTATACCCAATTAATAAAGAGGGTTTAGAGAAAAAAAAGTTATAAATTTTACTGCTTTTTAATTATGCATTAGCGTATTGATTAAATTAAATATTAGTACGTGAGAATAATTTTACCATGAGTGATGTTACAACTAATTAACTAATACTACCTCCGGTCCTAATTATAAGATCCAATTAACTAATTTAAGGAGATTAAGAAAGTAAGTTGAGTTAGTTATTTGTTCTAAATAGGTATTGTCTTTTCTAAAATATCCTTGCTAATCAAGTGTATTGACTAGAACTATAAATATTAGAAAGACTATCTTGGAAAAAATTTACTAAATATGAGAGATAAAATAGATTGGGATTTTATATTTAGGATCAAAATAAAAGTCAAACATGATTTTATATTAAAGACCAGAGGTAGTAATATAATTTAATAAGCATCGTGCAGTGATTCTTATCCATTCATCGTTATCTAAATACCGCAGTATAATATAATATATTCCTCTGATCTTAAAAAAAAAAAAAATCACTAACATATTCCAGTTCACAATTCTGCACCTGATGTTTTAAAGGCCACGAAACATTTACGCCTGAATTTAAAAGTGAGCTTTTTACGCCGCTCTTGAATCGTATGCTGCAAGCTTTATTATTATATTCAAAGTAGCTTAGAGCTCTAAAAATCCCAAGTTCCCAACAACATGAATATGCAATAACCTAAAATATTACTATTTTCGGTCCTTAATATAATACATTATTTGAGTTTTATTTTAATTCTAAATATAAGATTCTAATATATTTTATCTCTCATATTTATTTATTTTTTTCTAAGATAGTCATTCTAATAATATTAGTTGACACTAATAAACTTAATTACCAAGGATATTTTAGAAAAGACAGTATATATTTATTACAAATAACTAATTTAATTTATTTTTTTAATTTATTCAAATTAATCAATTAGTTTTTATATTTAGCATCGAAGGTAATACATGTGATATGTTCATGTGATTTATTTTTATATTATTTATTTCATTGCAAGTTTAAAGGCCTACAGCTCTAACTCTATTAAGCAACGCGTGCGTTTACACATTTGACCCCCTTTGAAGTGAACGATAACAAATTCTGCCTCGGCCTCGTTCATTTTTCCTCTCTCGAATTTTCGCGCATTCTTGTCAACTTGCGTGTACTTTCCTTTACTTTATACACAAATCACGTTTTACTATTAAAATAGAAAGACCAGTTGGCGATTATAAAACATGCTTGGAAGTTTTACCAACAATTGGTGAGTGGTTTGTCACTAGCTTCTTTTGAATGGGGTTTTGGATTCAACGATAATTCAAAAAGGTTTTTTTTTTCCCCCGCTCGTCATGGTTTGATATGATTGAAATTAAATTAAATGCGACTGTTTGAAAGCGGAAATCATATTTATTATATACTCCTCTAGTACTTAATGTATGATTTAATTGTTAAGTTAATTTTGATCCTAAGTATAAGATATATTTATCATATTTATCAATTTTTCTTAAATTATTCTTATAAATACTCCTTCAACCATAATCAAGTAAATAAGGGAGAGAAGATATTAAGAAAGATG